AGGTCGTAGACGTCTGGGCTCAAAGACAACATTTGGTGTTTTCTTGCCGATTCATTTTCTCCCCCCAAAAAAATCAATCAAGTTGTGTGTAACTTTACTAAACCGCTTATCCGCCACCAAATGTAATTTCTCCCAGAAAGAAAAAAATATCTTGAAATAATCCCCAGAACTACCCAATACATCATGTCATTAAACTGCACATTTCTTGTATTTCTGCCTGATTATTTTTCTTATATCTCTGGATTACTGGATAGGGGGAAAACTCAGAGAAAGGATTACAGGGATCAGGACTGAACCAGAATCTAAGGATAATTCTTATATGCGAATTACAAATTGTATTGATTGTTTGGCCCTATGCTTGCACTTTTTAGTTTAAATATGGGAGGATGTTCAAAAGAGATGCTGTTCATTGACACAAGATAAACATTGACTGCAATCCTGTGCTCTGTCCTAGGTTCATATCCAGCCCAGACCAATGGTCTGAATCTCTCCCTGTGTCTATTGACTGTGAGAGACATGATCCACATGTGAGAGGAGTTTGGGGCCATTCTTTCTTTTCCCACAGTCCCTGCACCTCGCCCTCTCCCTTGCCTCCTTCAAGACCAACTCTCCCTTCCCTCCTGATCCCAACCCCCAGCTTGGGTACAAATCCTTGACTGTCCAGTGCTTTGGGACATCCTCCCAATGTGAAAGGTGCTGTATAAATGCAATTTGTTGTTGTTGTTGTCTGAGCCCAGGTTTCCAGTGGCTGTGGGGCTCACCGCACAAGCCTGCCCTGAATCCAGCATCAAATTGTCCATCTCGCTCTGAGAGTCCACAGGGCGGCTGGTGAGGAGGAATGTCAGACTGGTGCAGTAGGGGGTGCTCTTCTGAGGATGGCGCTTGGTCCTGTGGTTGAGGGGGTGTGGAGCTTGAGATAGGATAGCTTTGGGGAGGGGAGGGGGGAAGAAATCAGAGCTCATGAAACAGAAACATTGTTTATTTAAATTGCACCAAATATTCAAGCCAGAGATGACAGGAAAGATTCACATTGAAACAGACAACAAATCTCCAAAGGAAACGCCCGAGAATAACAGGGAGTATAACAGGGAGGAAAGCAGAGATTGTGCTCAACGTAACTGATGTTGCTTAGAAGAAGATTCGGTCCCACATTTCACAGTTGCTCACAGTGTAAGCTGCTCCTGTTCATCACTGTGCAGATGATCACAACACCATCTCCCACACAGACACGTTCCATTTGACCCACCACCTCAAGTGTGCGTTGGGGTAACTGCTGGAGTCTAACAACTAAAACTACACAATTAATATCGCTGTCTGGCTGCCGGTTAGTGTAACAGGAGCTGAGTGGGATGACTCCCATGAGCTGATTGTCTCATCCCACCTCCCCAAACCTTTTTATATTCTTTCTCAGGAATATGTCTTGTTCTCTTTCAGAGGAATTCCTGGTCACTTCAGCTATGATTTGCACCGGCACTGATGTGATGGATCAAATGGAACGTGTCTGTGAGGTAATGTTGTGAGACATAGAGAATTCAACTTTTCCACCAGTCTGTGGGTAAAGAGAGGTTTAAAACCCTTCAGTGATTCCTTTTAATTATAATAAATATATTAATCCTTGCCTTTGATACAGCGCCTTATCACGTCTCAAAGAGCTTCACACAATATAATGTAAAGTGAATTGACAGAATATTTTGCGGGTAAAACGCTGCAGCCAATTGCGCACAACAGCGTCCCACAAACAGTCGTGGATTGAGTGATTAATTTTTTTAAGGAATTATTATCCCCGTAAACGCGATCCGCCAATCGATTAAAAAATGAGTGCTTACTTACTGCTAGGTAAACAGAGGCGCGTGAAGTAAAGAAACTTGCCCAACTTTTCACACCCCAGTAGCCAGCCCTCCCAGGTCAACGACAGCACGGGTTAGAGACAGAGTAAAGCTTCCTCTATGCTGTCCGTCCACACTCCCAGGTCAGGGTTAGAGACAGAATGAAGCTCCCTCTACACTTGTCCGTCTGCACACCCAGGTCAGTTGCAGCATGGGTTACGTGTACTGTGAAGCTCCCTTCCAAGGTTACAAGGTCTCAATGTTGCAGCTTAACACTAGAAAGCTGACTGCACTCTGGTATCTCACCCAAGGGATCACTACCCACGAGCCTAGATCAGTGGTGGTTAATGTTTGTGGCTGACCAACAACATGTTTTTTCGATTGAATATTTTGGGATTTGTGCTGAGCCCAATCCTGTCCTCAACCACACATACAGCCTGTCCGAGGAAGGGCTCTGGACTGTGAGTCCTGGCTGTTTCCCCCCCACAATCCTCCCCTGGACCCGAGATGCTGAGTTTAATTCCAGATCCCCTCATGCTCCCTGATCTAAATCAAATGTTTTTTTTAAAAAAAAGAGAACGAGCACTTTGACGTTTCCTTTGAGGATCAAATTATTTTGATCTTTTCATAAACGGCTAAAAACAAATATGACAAATTGGATTGCTGGGCCATGATATTTCAGTAAAAAGACGAAGGATTGCCTTGAATGATAAATCTGCTTCTGTTCCAATTTCATTCACTTTTTAAACGGAAATGGGTATAAATGTGGATTGTCTGATTGATGGTAAAGTGTACTGACCAGTGGAGCAACTCATATCAAAGCTCTCTATGCAAGTGTGTGTCATTAAGATGGACTTATCCCACTGAGTGATGATTTAATGCAGAGCAAAACCTTAGGCAAGTTTCCTTACTCCACACACTTTACTTACCATTATGTAGGAACCCGCTTGTTAGTCAATTGGTGAATCACTTTCCGGGGGTAATAATTCCTTTTAAAAAAATAATAATCCATGACTGTTTGTAGGACACTGCTCTGCGCAATTGGCTGCCGCGTTTTGCTCACAAAACACACAGCCACTACACTTTCCAGTATATCCTGTGAAGCGCTTTGAGAAATTATGTGAAACTTGCATAAATCGTATCATATATGAATGATGTAAAGTTATGTATAAGTTGGATTTTATATGACCTACATAAAACAAATACACAAGTACTGAACTGGCTGGTGACGTTAATGCCTGAAAAGGTGGTGGAAACAGATTCAGTAACAACTTTCAAAAGGAAATTGGATAGATACTCGAAAAGGAAAGAATTACAAGGATATGGGGAAAAGTGGGGGAGAGGGACTGATTGGTATCTCTTCCAAAGAGCCAGCACAGCACGATTGGGCCGAATCGCCTCCTTCTGTGCTGTAATACTCTCTAATTCTATAATTATACAAGGCAAGGTTTCTGTAGTATGTTGCATATTAAAGCTGTTGTAGCCCATCCTTTCCCTATAGACTGCTGCAAAGTTCTGTACCTCATGTGCAGAAAATCTACAATGAATGGCACAACCGAACAGATTTCAAAACAGAACTGTTTTATTATAATATAAACTCTTAAAAAGAACTACAATATTCACATTGTAACTGAATTACCAATCATTTTTTAAGGAAATGTTAAGTCAGACATAAATCCTCAGACATAAACCCTCTGCCTGATCTCCCCCATTCTGGGATTTCCGTGTGTAGGGGGGATGCATGGAAATCTCAGTTTGGTTTGGATATTCTTCAGCACGGTGATGGGTTTCTGCGTGTGTCAGACATCTGGCTGACCAAAAAAATCAAAATAAACACTAATTTGCATTGCCCGATGCCATGATGGCTGGTCAAACATTTGGTTTCTGTACATGTTCACTGTTCTCTACTGCGCATTGAATCCTTCGGCATTGCAGCTGGTAAGCGTGCAGCAGGTTGGGCCTTAGGTTTCTGCGATGGTCTCACATGGAGACCTGTAGCTCAGCGGTTAGAGCTCTCGCCTCACAAGCAAGAGACCTGGGTTCGATTCCCGGCAGGGCAAAACTTTGGGCAAGTTTCCTTACTCCATACACCTCTGTTTGCCTTGCAGTAAGCAGGGACCTGATTGTTAGTCAATTAGCAGATTGCTTTTCTGGGGGTAATAATTCCTTCAAAAAAATAATAATAATAAATCCACGACTGTTTGTGGGATGCTGCTGTGCCCAATTGGCTGCCATAGTTCGCTCACAAAATACACAGTCAATTCACTTTACAGTATATCCTGTGAAGCGTTTTGAGATGACAACAACAACAATTTGCATCCTTATATAGCGTCCTCCATGCAGGGTAGTGTCTCAGAGTGCTTTAACATCTCGAAGACGTGATAAGGCGCTAGATCAAATGCAAAGATTATTATTATTACGGAGCAGTGTGTCTGCTGCTTCCAGGCCGGTAAGTGCGACTGCGATGACGGATCTTGGTCACTTTCCACGTGGTCAGACGTAGCTCACCCCCTCCCCGTGATCAGGTGACGCTCTTTCCTCTCTCGCCCCCACCGCTCCCATGCTGCCGAGTGCGATGACATTGATGTTATGCCCCAGGGGGGAGGGGGCGGAGAGAGTTGGTTTGCGATAGATGTTCCATTTGAGATAGATGCGGGAAACAAAGTTCTAACCAGGCAGTTAGTTTGCTGAACGCAAGTACAGTACAGTAGCAATGTTACGAGTGACGCAATTGTTTATACGACTGGTGCAGAAAAATGAAAGTGGATTTAATAGGAAATTCAACAGGACTTGGGTAGATGTGCGATTTAGGCGATTATATGGATTATGTACATCAGATTTATGGGTGTTTTACTGTATTTCCGTGCAGTTTGAGGTTACACGTTTACCTCATGTGTTGATGCTGAATAACACCATTGGAATAATAATAAAAATAATCAATTCTCGTATTCGATAATAGGGCCTTTAGCGTCAGGAGGACGTCCAAAGCGAGACTCACAGATTTTACTGTAAAGTGTAGTGGCTGTGTGCTTTGTAGGTGAACGTGCGATTTATTTCATCAGTAAAATCAATAAATACTGTTCTAGACAACCGCCTTAATCTGAACCCAATAACAATAAATAATCTCGCCTGATCACTGATTGGAAACCATCACGTGGCAATCCCAGACCAATGTTACATGACGGAGCACTTCTCCTCGGCTGATTGCTTTATTTCAATGAAAGTATCTTGAGCTTTGTTTTTGAACATATCGAAGTCCATGTTTTGAATCGACCCCAGAAAGGAATCGTTGGCTTCCTCCTCCTCTTCGTCCGCCTCCACCATCTTCGCCAAGTCCTCGGGCAGGTCCACGTCACCTCCCACCATCTGAATGTGATTTTCGTCCTTTTCACTCTGATTAATAATAATAATAACAATAATAATAATCCTTGCATTTGCTATAGCGCTTTATCACGTCTTTGAGACGTCTCAAAGCGCTTCACAGGAAGTGAATTGAACTATATATTTTGTGGGCGAAATGGGGCAGCCAATTGCGCGTGGAATGATTGACCAAATAATATTATTTTGACTTTTTTTAAGTGATTATTGCCCCTAGAGAGCGATCCGACAATCGACTAACAACCGGGTTCCTGTTATCACTTCATGTTAAAAGGGAACCTGGTTACTGCACTATCCCATGTATGTTGGGAGACGAGAACCTAGATCCCTTGTGGATGTGTCTACAGTTTGCACCTAAGAAGTTTTTATTGATCTGCCTACATCATGTCCCCCACCTTACCTGCCCCATCATCAGGCGAGCAGGCCAGCCTTTAGTCATTCTGCCCCCACTCTCTGGAACTCCATCCCAGAGTCCCTCCAACTCATTTCCTCCCTCCTCACATTGAAAGCCCACCTCAAGACTTACCTCTCTGACTGCCCTTTCGGTCATTTTTAAAACCTACCCAACCACCCTCTTCAACTCCCATCCTCAGACAGCTTTGTGAAGCACTATGAGACCGAGCTGCTGTAAACTGGATTTTATTCTATTAATTTCAACCAGATGACAAGGAGCTTTAGGTGAAGAAGACACTTCAGTCCAATTGATCTCATGCTTTAAGAACACCAAACTCCCAATCCTACTGCCTTCCCATTTAGTATTAAGCTGTTTTTTAAATGAAGCCCATGACCTGATCTCAGCCACCATCTCTGGTAACTCACTCCAGCTCTTGCCTCCACTCTCTAGTGAACCATTTCCTGGTGTATGTCCCAAAACCTAACCTTCTGTACCTTCTTGCAGTGCTGCCATAAGGTACCTAAAACTATTTCTAATATAATCATAGAATCTTCCAGCCCAGAAGGAGGCTATTTGGCCCATCGTGCCTGTGACGGCTCTTTGAAAGAGCTTCCAACTAGTTCCACTCCCCCAGTCTTACTCCATTTTTCTGGGTATACTTTCTCTAACCCACTTTGCATCTCTCACCCACCTTCTCACCTCCTATCCTTCCCTCCAGAATCTGTTTACATTGTACCAATTTATATTGTTCTTTTGAATACCGTCCTGGGAATACGCTCCATAAATTTATTATTTTTCTCTAGAAAGTAAATCCACCCATCTTCCCTCCTTGGGCCTAAACAGAACCACAGAATTATAGAGATTTACAGCACAGAAGAAGGCCATTTGGCCTACCGTGTCTGTGGTAGCTCTTTTAAGAGAAATCCTTTCAGTCTAATTTACCGGCAGTTTCCCCAAACCCCTGTATTATTGGGCAAAAGTAATAATCCTTGCATTTGATATATAGCGCCTTATCACGACTTCGAGACGTCTCAAAGCGCTTCACAGAATATACTGTAAAGTGAATTGACTGTATATTTTGTTGGGCGAAACACAGCAGCCAATTACACACAGCGGTGTCCCACAAACAGCCGTGGACCAATTTATTATTGCTTTTTTTCTTGCAGGATTATTGTCAGGCGGAAACTTGCCCAAGGTTTCGCCCTGCTGATACCATCACATCTAAGTGCTCCAAGACACCTTTTGCTGCTGTCAATCTGATCCAATTCAAGTGAGTGGCTATTTTGAAGGCGATTCGTAAATTTGTTGAGTGTATTGTATTTGAGCCATAAACCAGTGCCAATCAACATAACACACCTTACCTGCGGCAGCCGGTACTTTTCCCTCATGTGCACCCTGAGCGTCGCTCTCTCCGCTTTCTTCTGTGCGAACGAATTGTCTCGTTCCATTCTGTAAAAGAAACAACGCTTTGCTTCTGGATCTGTTTCTTACGCTGCCGTACTTTGGAACTCTCTCTCCCCCAAACCACCCCCCGCGCTTCACCCTCTCCTTCCTTTCTTTTAGATCACAACCGAAGACCTTCCTCTTCGCCTGGTGCTTACAATTACCTCCTCCCTCACCCTGGCTCGGTGTCAGGATCTGTCACTGTTAAGTGCTCTGAGATGCTAACCCATGTGAAAAGCGCTATATAAATGCAAGTTATTGTGTTTTTGTTGTTGCCATTGGGGGTAGGGTGTGTGTGTGTTGGGGGGGGCTTCTGTGTCTCAGTGTTGCCCAGCACTGACTCCCACCCACCCCCATCCCAAACCACAATCAATCCAAATTGCTTATATCGTTGAATGCAACAAGAACAAGTCACCTGGGAAAGTTTCAGGAATTATCTTGGAAAATACAGCACAGAAGGAAGCCATTCAACCTTTGTGCATTGCTGCTGCTAGCTCCTCACCACTCATCCCAACATCCACAGATGCCTGAAATTCGACCCAGTTTTAGCCTCAAGACTATTTTGACTTTATATCGATGACGGTGAAGAATTGAGTTGAAGTCTTAACTCCATTGTTAAGATCAAGTGCCCTGGGGCATCCCTTGGAGTGATCTACTCTAAATCCGATTGTATGATCTTTCCCCGTGCTTTTCTATACTCTGCCTTGCCACACCTTTGCTCAATTATACATAGTTATATTCTCAGTTTCAACCAGCCACAAGGGTACCATGTTCTAACTATCCTCAACACGGAAAAATTGCTTTTTAACTCTCAAACATAGAGTTACATAGAGTGATACAGCACGGAAACAGTCAAGTCAGCCCATCTAGTCCATGACAGTATTTATATCCCACACACAAGCCCACCAACATGTCCATTGCCTTCTTCTTTGTGTCTGCATCAAATTTTCTCTTAAATAAATTGATGCTTCCGGCAGTGAGTTCCATATTTTCACCACCCTCTGTGTAATGAAGTTCCTCCTAAACTCCCTATTAGATCTACTACTGGCTGACTTATGTCCTCTAGTTATGGATTCACCAACAAGTGGAAACAGCTTATCAACCTTCACCTTATCAAATCCTTTCAACACCTCTATCAGGTCCCTTCTGAACGCTAATGGGTGAGAGCGAGGTCAGTGATGGTCCACACCTTGAGGCACATTGTAGCCTTGGAGGATATTTTGTCTTTAAATTTATGCTTGTTCACAGTTATGGAAAATTCTCAAATTGAGTCTTAATTTGGAATCCAGGATTTATGAAGAACTGCGGAAAAACAGCTACTAAATAAAGACCAAATTGAAGAATTTTCCACCATTCTGTGCAATCTCAAGATTGAGTGTAAAGTACAACTCCTCAATGATTGAAGTGGAGAGATGGTCTCTGTGCTAAGTGGAGAGGAAGGTCTGATTAGAGGAGTTGTACCTCAATACAGAGAACACTCAGCGTTTGTCTGAGAGATATTTATGGGATTTTTAGGAGGAACTTCCTAACTTAGAAGCTGTGTAGAATGTGGAAGTTATGGTTGAAGTAGGAAGCATAATAATATTAATAACCCTTCCATTTGACACAGCGTGATAAGGCGCTGTGTCAGCTATAACACTTTATTACTGTAAAGTTAGAAAGGCCTTGAGTGAAATGTGCAGTTTACATTTCCAGGCAGGTTTTGTTCAGGCTCCTCATACACACAATGCAACGTGAACTGCATCACTGACTTGACAGCAATCGGAAATGGAGGTGAGTTCTGCGTGGTGACTGGTTTCAGTGGGAAGCTGTGATGTGCTATTCCCCAGGGGGTCAGCCAGTGCCAGGCTCCGGCTATTCAGATATGTTATCCTTGACCTTGAGTAGATTATAAATGTAAAAACAGGTCTGCGGACGGCACAGAGTATTATCTGTTGTGTTGGTTCTTAGCTAAACAGCAAACAAGGATTTTATTATGGCGGTGGGGGTTGTAACAGACTGTGAAGGTTTACTGAAGACATTGAAGGACTCAGGCATTGAGGATTGCACATAGACCTGTTCAAATTGCATTTCCGGCACCATTCAGCCCATTGTGGAGTCCCGTAGCGTAAGTTAGAGCATCGCCTCGCAAGTGAGAGGACCCAGGTTCGATTCCCGGGCGGAGCAAAACATTAGACAAACTTTCTTACTTCACATGCCTCTGTTTACTGGAATGAATGTAATTTATCATTTTTATTAATTCTGTGGCAATCTTAAATATTTAAGACAAGGCTAAGACTGGACAAAATGTTAGGCTTTTGCAGATACTGAAGGAGGTAGACAAAGGGTAGACAAAGGCTTGATAATAATAATAATAATCCTTACATTTGATATCATGTCTTATCACATTGTTGAGATGTCTCACAAAATATACAATCCATTCACTTTACAATATATTCTGTGAAGCGCTTTGAGACTTCTCAACAATGTGATAAGATATTATAGCAAATGCAAGGATTATTATTATTATCAAGCTACTTCACTATCTGCAAAGGCCTAACATTTCACTCAGTCTTAGCCTTGTCTTAAATATTTAAGATCGCCTCAGAATTAATGACAATTACAAATTTCAGTCTTCATTTGGAAGTTGGCTCTTGAAAAGAAGCCACTCTCCTAATGAAAACTGCATTAAAACATTTTGCACAATTCCACTCAATCCCAAATTTTGAGACAAAATCTTATTTTAAGATTATTAAGTTTATGACTCGGGGAGTGGACTAGAGACCATCACAGAGAGTTGACTCGATTCTGACATTCTATTGCAAAGCATGTCACCTTGGAGCTAGTTTAACTCCAAGTTGACTCTGCTTTCCTCCCCCTCTCCCTCTCCGCAGAGGAGAGCTGGTCGTCTGTTTTGAGCAGAGACGCATGACTTCAGTTCCCCAGGTCTAAATAGGGCAAAGATCAGCCAGGATTTCTGCTCCTGATCACCATCGCCACCGTACAGCAGGTGGATAATGAATACGAGGTGAGGACAGGTTAATCTGACCGACCCCCTCACAGCCAAACAAGCTACCAGCTACTCCCTCTTTAAACTGGAACCAACGGTAAGGTAATGGAGAGCTTCCAGTGATCATTCATGAGACACGTCTAACAGAAGAATAAATAGGATTTTTTTTAGTTCCAGCCACGGGCGCTCAAATGCTAGTCATTAGGGGCGAAGATTCCTGGTTTACGTTTTCTCTCTCTCATTCCTAATAGGTAAGTGTTCTATGTCATAGATAAATCCTCCTAAAGCTATTTCACCTAAGCTGCTGGTTTGAACATTTAGCCCACAAATCCAGGATTGCACTAGTTTCCTGGCTTCATAAAGTGGAAGTCACTTAGGGCAGTTTGACAGGCTAATAAATACAAGGCCTAAATGATTGGATTGGCAAAGACGTCACAAAAGTTTTGAGCCAATCTATAATTAACAGCTGATATTGTGCCAAGGCGGAGCGAGAAGTTAATGGGATTTTGCTGTGTTCTGAACTGAATTAAACAGTCCTGCTTATACAGTTATTTAATCAGTTAATAACAGCTCTATTGTTCAGTAGCCGAGAAACAAGTGTGGTTTGTTAAATTATATCAAATAAAATCCTCCCAGATATCAGGGCTGAGCTGCGTTTCTTATTTATTTCACATAAACTGAGGCACAGGAAAGGATAACTGGCCTTTCTCACACTTCGTTTTATCCCTTAATCCTCTTCTTTCTAAAGCACAACCTGTTGTTTCTATTGGCTTCTTCTTATTCCTTATCCCTATTCTTTCCCATTTAGTCTCAAGCTCCTCATTGTAACTTGATGCCTTCTGCTCCTTAAAAGTATTGCTAGTGGCAATGGTTTGTTGGTTCAAGTTCATCCATCCCTGCGATGAAGATATCTTGAAGGTTTCTTACTTCCATTGAGGACAAGCCCAACTTCCCCAATTCTTCCTCATGACCCATGAGAACCAATGCTGACCAGGTCTTCAAATGTCCATTTAGACACATCAAGCCTTGTTGAGGCTTAAAAACGTGCAGGATTGAGGATCTATCTGTACCTCCAATTCCTTGGATTATTACCGATCTCCCAGCTCCAAGGGCTTAATTTACCTCAGATGAGACAGTAGTCTTGGGACGTCCTCCCGATGTGAAATGTGCTTTACTAATGTAATTCCTTGTTGTTGTCGTAGTCAGGATTACGATTGACTTCAGTTCCCTTGGGTGAGGGAGAAAACAATCAACCAGGATTCCTGCTTCTGCTTGTAATCGAAAATTGAGGGGAGGTTATTTAGGGTCTGTTATTCCCCATTTAGAATCGATCTCCTCATTGTAACTTGATGCCTTCTGCTTCTTTGCCAATGTCAAAAGTGGGTACAAGCCATATGTTAGGACCTGAGCTTAAGGTCTAAGATGACCAATCTGCCTGTTCAGATTGAATGAGACCTTTGGAAAAGAGAGGTTCTCCTCGTGTCTAGCCAGCAATCGTGCCTGTTAGTTGGTCACTCTCTTCTTGGCTGTCCATGGGAACCTGCCATTTCAGCTCGTCTGCAGCATATCTCACTTCCAGATATTGCTGTCTGACCAGGATATACCAGCCTCTATGGAGGAACATTAAACCATAGTCCTGCCAGCCTGTTTTAGTGGTTCAGGTGGACTTTAAAAGAGAAGGAATTTCTCCCAATGTACTGGCTAACATTTCTCCCTCCCCCGCCCTCCCTCCCTGGGATAATTGGCCATTCATCTCATTGCTGTGGATGTGGGTTCAAGCTCCAAGTTGGGACTTCGAGCTGATGCGCTGTGCTGGGGTTGATCACTGCAGTGTCAGAGGTGCTGCCCTTCGGATGAGATAGTAAACTGAGGTCTTGTCTGGCTATTCATAAATATCCCATGGCGCTATTAAAAAAGAGAAGTCTTTCCTGGTGTCCTGGCCAACAGTTCCCCAGATAAACTCGGTCATTCACTTCATGGCGGTTTGTGGAATATAATCTGTGAAAAACTGGCTGCTGTATTCACGTACAGAATACAGTCATTGTACTTTACAGTATATCTTGAGAAATGCTTTGAGATGTTTCCATGACCAGATAAGATTCTGTATCAAATGCAAGGATTATTATATTAAGTTATTGTATTATAATTAATATTATGTAGAACATTGCTAGCCCACATTAGCTTCTACATAAAATTCCCTTCAAAATGACCCATGTGAAGAGCTTTGAGATGTTTTCACCAGATAATGTTTAATTTGTTTTCCTGTGTTTTTTTTGTTGGGGAAAAAAACCTCAGTGCAAACTAGGTTACAATCAAGATCAATGTTTCTGAGATACATCTCTCTAAAACTCCAAACACATTCATCCTATTCTCTTTTATTATTGAAAGAACAGAGCAGTTTACACGACTGACTGTGACCTCAGATTCTGAAAATTGAAAGTGGCTTACACCCGGATGACCTGACATACACTGCACGGGATTCACATAGGCTGGGAGTATAGCTTAGCTCTCCTCACTCTAAGTCATGTCAGGTTATTACAAGATGATATGAGTTTGAAAGGGACACAAGACTTAACACTGAGACCTGCCACTCCAGAATTGTACTCAACTGCCAAGCAATCAGTTAATAATAATCATAATAATAATAATAATCCTTACATTTGATATATCGCCTTATCACATCGTTGAGATGATTCAAAGCGCTTCGCACAATATATTGTAAAGTGGATTGACTTTTTTTTGTGGGCGCAGCGTCCCACAGACAGGCTTTTTAAAAAAGGTTACCAACTTCTGTTTAAAGTTGGGTCCATTCTTCGAAGGTGAATGGACTGCTCACTGCCCCCTGGCCTGATCTGCTCTGTGTTGGCTGATCTTACGAGTTGGAGTTACAACTTGTGGGTTTTGTTGTGCAAATTAGTTGCTGTGTGAGGAGGGGGTGAGGCATTGTGAAGCCTCTCACCCATGCGGTCTTGGCTCATAGGTAAAGAATGACCAATAATATAATAATACAATATATAATAAAGTAATCCTTGCATTTGATATAATAATAATCCTTGTATTTGATACAGCGCTTCACATAATTTACTGTAAAGTGAATCGACTGTATATTTTGTGGGAAAATCGCAGCAGGCAATTGCGCACAGCAGCGTCCCCACACACAGCCGTGGATTGAGTGAGCAAAATTTTTTAAAAATGTCAAAAACTATTATTACCCCCGGAAAGCGCTCCGAGACGCTAGCCCACATGAACAGGGCTATATAAATGTAACTTGCTTATTTAATAATAATAATAATCCTTGCATTTGACATAGCGCCTTATAACATCCGCTTCACAGGATGTACTGAAAGGATTGACTATATATTTTGTGGGTGAAACGTGGCAGCCAATTGTGCACAGTGGTGTCCCACAGATATTGTGGATTGAGAGACCAAATTTTTTTTGTAAGTATTATTACCCTCGGAAAGTGATCCACCAATCGACTAACAACCGGGCTCCTACTAACTGCTAGGTAAACAGAGACGTGTGGAGTAAGAAAACTTGCTTAAGATTTTGCCCCTTGGGAATGAAACCCAGGAGTAAGGGATCAGAGGATACCCATGAAGCCGTATCTCATCAACAACAAATTCTCAAACCGAAGGGAAAAAAACAGGAACCAACTGACCATTTTAGGCCCCGATTCAATTACGATTATTCAATTATTATAAGAATTATTATAATTCAATTATTATAAGAATCATGGTGAGAAATTCTTACCATAAATCCGTAGGACTTAATGTAACAAATCCCAGAAGAATTGAACCTACACAAACACGACTAGCATCAATAAGACTCACTGTAAATTATTTTTGCAATTAATATGCACTTTTTAACAACAACTCAGCCCCCCAGGGAGACCTTTAAAAATATGTATTGTGAAGTTTCATGAAAATATGGTTGTCAGAGGTTCTGATAAGCATAGGAAGTGCTGTGTATTCAGAGCACCTCTTCCACACAATGTTTAACCACTTGTTGCCAACAGAGGTCCAACACTGGGTGGAGGAACATCCTTACATCTGACAGGAAAGCTTTGCAACAACAACAACAACAAACAACATAAAATGGCATTTATGTAGCATCTTTCAGTTATATTTAATATGACATCTATTGAAACGCTTTGAGAGATCTTGAAGACGTGATATGGTGCTGTATCTAATGCAAAGATTATTACTATATTATGTCTTTCACGTCGGGAGGATGTCCCAAGGCCCTGGACAACGAGAGGTTTACACCCCAGTTGCAGGTTGGGATCAAGAGGATTCTGTTTTCTATTATTATTTGATTTGCATTCTGTTCTGTGCGCTCAGTATACAGATTCCAGACCAAACGCTCTGTTATCCTGTTCGAAGGATGTGAAGGTGTACACTGTAAATTTAACTGAAACAAATGTATTTTGGAATACGGGAGTGTATAATCGAACGGAATGACCTTTGTTGGTTCTGTTTTAAATATAAAATTCTCATCCGGTTCAGAACAGCAACGGTACAACACAATAAATTTTGCATTTGATACACCGCCTTTCACATTTGGGGGACAACAATCACAACAACTTGCATTTACATAGCGCTCATCATGTGGGATAGCGTCTCAGAGTGCTTCACACAGCTGGCTGGGCATCGGGGGGGTGTGGACTGCAGGTGGGGGAGGTGTGTATCGGGTGGTGGGAAGCATATGTAGGTGTAGTCTAGAAGGTTCTATTAGAATCCAGCATATTTCTATCAGATTTTTTTCAGTATCACTTTGTCAGCTAGGATTTATTTGATAAGAGATTCCAAGCTTCAATTCTAAGTTCGCTTTTAAAAGCCATCGATTGTCTCTCTCTCTCGTAAACACTCACTTCTCCTCCACCAGCTGCCGCTGATATTCCTCAAACTCCTCCCTGGTCATTCCCGTGCTGGCCGGGGTCGGAGTCCCGTCGCCTGTCTCCGTCTTCTCCTCCTCCCCACCGCCTCCGCTCAGATTTTTCATTTTCTGGCTAAGCATGTTCTTCAGCAGAAAGGACATTTTGACGGAAACGGTGTAATTAACAAGGAGTGCAGGCGAGATGGCCTTTGCTGGAACAGAATGAATTTGAGGGGAAGATAAGCCCTTGGGTGTAATTGGCACACATGCTCCTAAACGGATTAAATCATTAGAAGATGCAAGTTTACACCATAGCAGCCTGGGTTGCTCTGTACCTAGCAACATTCCCTTTCCAATTCGTTCCTTCAATATCAATCAGGGAATTATAATGGAATAATAATACACAGTGGACAATTCTGGTTTGATAATTCTTGTATTTGCATTTGACATAGCGCCTTATCAGGTCGTTGAGACGTCTCAAAGCTATGATACAGAATAGACTGTAAAGTGGAGTGATTTTGTATTTTGTGGACAAACGTGGCAGCCAATTGTCCAATGGGTTTCTTTTATGAGCGAGGAACTGGGAAAAGATGTCAGGCCCATGGTGAAGGCAGTGCCAAGGAGGAATAACGAGCAGGAGAGAGGAAGAGAAGAATTAAGAAGTAGGGGTAAAGTTTGGGGTTTAAACTATTGTGTGTAGCAGGAAGGGAAGAGTGAGCGAGGGGGAAGGAAGAACGGCCTCATCATTCCTCAGTAAAATACCTGAACCCACTAACCTCAGAAAATCATCCCAAAATAATAATAATAATCTTTACATGGAATATAGTGCCTGATCGGGTCGTTGAGACATCTCAAAGCGCTTCACAGCTTGTAAAGTGGATTGACTGTGTATTTTGTTGGCGAAACGCAACAGTCAATTGTGCACAGCAGCGTCCCACAAACAGTCGTGGATTGAGTGGACAAATTATTGTTTCTTTTAAGAGATTATTATCTCTGAAGAAGCTATCTGCCAATCGACTAACAACCGGGTTCCTATTTACAGCGTAGTGGTTACAGCAATTGGTTGCGAGGCGAGTGCTGCAATACGGCACAATTTGGTGTTGAATTCAGGTCAGTTTTGTGCTGTGAAACCCACATCCACAGTGAACTGGGCTGCAAGTGCAAGAGATTCTTTCATTTAAGCAGTTTTAATATTGTACCAGTAAATTGCCTGTCAGTGTTTACAACTCTCCTTATGGCAAAGTTATTGAGTGTTTGCAACACTTTAACTATTGCCTGGTGGTGATATCAAACTGCTCAATCAATTCACCAACCAGTTCCCATCATACGCTCATCGCCCTCGCTCATATCAACTTCATTCACCACAACACACAGACAAAACCCTGGCAATAATGAGCAATGAAATCTGCAGATCTTTGCAACCAACGTATAGGAACTATACCACTGGCCTCGGAATAACCTCAGTCTTTTATTCAGTGTGTTAATGAACCGTGGTGATTTAAAGGGATTTCAAGGTAATGTGCCTTGGGATTTCTTTATATTTAGGTCAAGAGACTTTAATCTGCAGCTGCATCTCCAACACTAACTGTACAGATATTGGAGGCACGGCAGTAGTTCATTAAGATCTGGAGCTACAGTCTGCGAGTAACACATAACAGCCAATAGCTATGCATGGGCTGTGATCTGGGTAAAGTCGGAGCCAGGCCTTGTCTATATATTTTTACACAGAGAGTGGTACAATGCATTACAAGGTTACATTTGTAAAGCGCCTTTCATATCAGGAGGATGTCCCAAGGTGCTGGACGGTCAGGAATTTGGACCCAAGCAAAGGGGGGGGTGGGGGAGGGATTGGCGTAAGGGAGGGTGGAGGGCAGGAGGTGTAGGAGAGTGGCTGAAGGCGTGGTCGAAGAGTCTTGACACGGGCCTTGAAGGAGGCAAGGGAGCGAGCGAGGCGAAAGAATGGGGGCAAAAGAATGGGGGCAGAAAGGTTGAAGGCCCAACTGCCGATGGAGGGGCGGACCAGGCGGGGGACGTGGAGCAGGCCAGAGCCAGAGCCTGCTGAGCGGAGAGAGCGGACAGGTTGTTAGGACATAGGTTGCCTGACCTGGAACCTTGATTGAGACAGGATTTATATTCATTTTCTAAGAAAGAATAAGGTAAATATCTGACAAGGAAAAATATAAAAGTCTCAGAGGAGGAGGGGTGGCAGGAAGATGGGACTAAACTCTCCCAGAGAGACGACTAAGGCGTGATGAGCTGAATGTCCTCTTGCTGTAAATGTTCATTGTTCTATAATGTATTTGATACAGCGCCTTATCACATCTTCGAGATGTCTCAAAACGCTTCACAGAATATACTGTAAAGTGAATTGACTGTATATTTTGGGGGCGAAACGCGGCAGCCAATTGCGCACAGCAGCGTCCCACAAACAGTCGTTGATTGAGTGACCACATTTTTTTTGTTCTTACAACGTTTTTTAAGAGAGAGATAGATGACTTTAAAATTATTAATACTCAATCAGGGTGGCCGAAAATCACAGAATATATTGTAAAGTCAATTGACTGTATATTTTCAGGGGGAAACAACAAATACATTTCCCTTCATTGAATTTTTCTTCATTTATGGCTGCACTGTGGAGCTCAGTAGCGACGATCTTCAACCCGACATTGAGACTTTGCGCTCAGTCTAGGCTGACGTTCCAACTCAGTGCTGATGACATCGCAGCAAGGTCAGAGGTGCCGAGCGCTAACCTTCCACTGACTGGTTATACCGAGGTCCCATCTTTGTCTATTCAGGTGGACTTGAAATATCCCGTGACACTACTCAAAAAAAGAAGGGAGTCCCGATGTCCCTGCCAACAATCTCCCAGATAAAATTGATCATTTACTTTGTGGCTGCTTAAGCTCTCCGACACGCTAGCCCACACAACTAGGGCTATATAAAGGTAACTTGCTTATTTAATAATAATAATTATAACCCTTGCATTTGATACAGTGGCTTAACACGTCTTCGAAACATCTCAAAGTCCTTCACAGGATAGAATAGTAATAATAATCCTTGCATTTGATATAGCACTTTTCATGTCTTCTAGAGGTCTCAAAGCGCTTCATAGAATATACTGTAAAGCGGATTGACTATGTATTTCGTGGGCGAAACGCAGCAGCCAATTGTGCACAGCAGTGTGCCACAAATATTGTGGACTGAGTGACAATTTTTTTGTGTGGGGATTATTAACCCTGGAAAGTAATCCGCCAGTCGACTAACAACCGGATTTCTACTTAGTGCTGGGTAAACAGAGGCTTGTGGAGTATGGAAACTTGCCTAATGTTTCGCCCTAGTTGGGATTCTACCTGGGTCCTCTCAAGGCGAGTGAACTACTACTCCACAGGACTCTACTTGCCACCCAAACAGCCAGCTTTGAGAGCCTGGCAATGCTCCACTTGGATCGGATGTTGCCTCAGTTGGAGTTTCTGTGATTGCAAATAGCTGGAACGGAGTGCTAGACTGCAGCCAAACTAGTCTAATGAGAAGAGGGAGTATTGCAAGGATTAGACCCAAACACAATCATCAATCAAATGTCTGGAACGAATGCAAGGCCTGATTGCACTCTAAGCTCTTATGCCAAGTAATCTCAGTACATAAAATATACAAGATTGTTTTCAATGAAAGGACAGGATAGCTTATTTGATCCTGCATATTATTTTTACATCCGACTAGGTGCTCGGAATTGTAAGCTATATGTAAGCATTTTAGATATAGTTATTAGAGGAATGTAATCTCACTCAAGTCCTCGGGAAAAAAATAAGTTTTGTGGAGGATTATTTAATCATTAGACTCCAGGCTGCCCCCCCACCCCGGGTCAGGGGCAGGGGTGGGGGGCAGTGGAGAGATTGTTCTATCATGTAGGATTTCGAATCAGAAATATGACTAAATACAACCTTCAGAAAGGGCTGAAGCTGTGCGTTAAGCACTTGTCTTTCCTTCTGGGATTTGCGTTCCAGCTCAGCCCTGACTGACTGGATGAAAGTTCCCTGTGTCCAGTGAGCATCCCTGTGTGAGAGGAGTTTGAGCCCAGTCCCCAGTGGGATGTCAGACTGGTGCAGTAGGGGGCGCTCTTCTGAGACTTAGCACAGTGTAGACCAGGGATTTCCAACTAGTCAATCATGATCGACTTCTTGGAGCACCAAGAAGTGGCCCAATAAACACCCACCCTGGTCCAAACAATTCTACACCAAAGCTCCAATAGCTACTGAGCCACAAGACCCATGGCACGGCCATAAATGAAGAAAAATTCAATAAAGAAAAATATATTTGTTGTCTGACTCTGTCTCTAACCCCCCTGTCCCTGATCTGGGAGAGTGGACAGACAGTGTAGAGGGAGCTTTACTCTGTCTCTGACCGGGGCTGTCCCTGATCTGGGAGGGTGGCACTGGGGTACTGGGCCAAGAAGGTTTGACAAGGCCGATAGGGTTTTGGAACACAATGGGGTTATGATTAATGGACCAGAACAGAGGAGCCAGGATGATTTTGTTTTCCTAACTCAACCAACGATCCCGGAATTGTTTTAGTTTCCTGCTGACTCAGTGGCAAGTGAGTCAGGCTGACACAAAGCCAATGCCTCCACCTAATAATAATAATAATCCTTGCATTTGATATAGCGCTTTTCACGTCGGGAGGACGTCCCAAAGCGCTTCACAGAACACACTGTAAAGTGAATTGACTGTATATTTGTGGGCGAACGCGGCAGCCAATTGCGCACAGCAATGTCCCACAAACAGTCGTAGATTGAAAATGACCAATTTATTATTGTTTTGGGTTTTGGAGGATTATTATTAGGCTCTGTGTGGAGTAAGGAAACTTGCCCAAGGTTTCGCCCTCTGCCTGGAATTGAACTCAGGTCTCTCACTTGCAAAGCGAGTGCTCTAACCACTGAGCTACAGGACCCCACCTGAGTCAAGTTTGTCTTCATCCCATCATCATTGGAGCTCATACTCTTTACAATCCTGTTGGTGCCCTCACTGAAGGTCTCTCAACAAAAGGTACTCGGACCTGGTCTTATAATTGCTGGAAGTCATCCTCAAGTGCTGTCCTCCTGTCGGCAGGCCCAGCCTTAATTTAGAGAGACAGAAAACATGAGTACGACTATTAATTAGATGAATAGAGTTGTAACAATAATAGATCATATCAACAGCTAAATTAAATAATCTTACGATCCCCATTTAATCAGATTGGATTAACCAGAGGGCAATTCATTCAAAACCAACAGCAACTAAGACAATAGATTGCTTAGGATGAGCTAAAGATGATTAACAGAACTCCAATTAGACTGTAGTGATTGGAATTGAAAGCCATACAATGGCAAGTAACAGAGGACTCAGGTTGCATTCCAATTGGGAAGGGGACCCAGATGGAAGAACTGCAGGTCAGATGTGAAGTCGCTGGATTTGATCCGATTGGATTGGAAAGAACTTTGATCCTGGTTGGAGCCTCGCAACCAAGAGGACCCAGAATCAATTACTGAGCAGGGTGAAACCTTAGGCAAGTTTCCTTGCTCCACATGCCTGTTTAGCTAGCAGTAATTAGGAATCCGCTTGTCAGTCGATTGGTGGATCACTTTCAGGGGGTTATAATCCCTTCGTAAAAAAAATTTGGTCACTCAATCCACGACTGTTTGTTTGGACTCTGCTGTGTGTTTCGCCTTCAAATTACACAATCAATTCACTTTACAGTATATTCTGTGAAGCGCTTTGAGACATCTCAACGAGATGATAAGGCGCTATATCAAATGCAAAGATTATTATTATAATAATAAGAGAAATTTAGTAATTTCTGAAAGCTGTACATTTAAAAACCTGGAGAGTGAAACTCTATCTCCCTCCGACTGGCCGGGATAGAGGCTCAGCCTTGGATAGGGTTTCTTTCACAACATTTTTTTTGTAAATTTTGCAGTCAAACCTGTCATCAGCAACCACTCAGGGGCCAGACCAAAGTGTCCTTGCTGTAAATCTGGCCTCTGAGTTGTTGGTGTGTGTAGAATATCTCACTGTATAGGTATACAGAAAAATACAGTGCACATACGAACCTATGAATCAAACTAGTTTTAATAAAGTAATAAATCAGTTACAAAATACAAATTGTTACTGTTTCCACGGACCGGCGTGTAGAATCCCGCTAGACTCCTAACTCCTGCCAATCCTGCCCTGGGCAGCCCAATGGACCAGATCTGGTTATCTCTATCACTGACAGGACTAAAAATGAGTGGCCTTAGACAGTGATTGCTGTATAAAGATGGTTTATTATGGAGAATTGGTCCAGACTGTTCAGGTTGGTTGTTGACAGCAGGTGGTTGCTGCATAGAGGTGGTTACTTTAAGACATTGTATATTAGAAAATATTTTTCAATCCTCCCCTGAAGACACCTGGCGATGGGGTTTAATGGGCTCTGACTACCCTGTGGTTCCAGGCCCCAGTGGCCATTGCTCTTGTGTAGGATCTGGTGTCATCCCAATCCTGGGATGAACCCCAGTATATATCCCCCTTCCTGGCAGTTCTGAAACATCTATAATAATCCTTGCATTTGCTGAATCTCTTATCAAGTCAGCTGTGAAGATGTACAATTATGTAATCTGTAGGCAAATGCTACAGCTGATTTACAGGCTGCAATGTCCCACAAATAGCCATAAAATGAATGATCAATTTTATTTGGGGAATTGTTGGCCAAGACACCCAGTGGGAGAAAGAAACTCCTCTTTTTGACCAGAGATGTGGGATCTTTAACGTCCACCTGAAAAGGCAGTTGGGACCTCGGTTTAACATTTCATCTGAAGGACGCCACCTCCGACAATGAGGCAAACCCTCAGCATTGTATTGGAGCGTTCGCCTTCTGAATCCAGAACCGTCTGACTCAGAGATGAGAGTGCTACTGACTGAGCCAGCTGATGCACAAATGGTTAAGAAACCTTCAGATACACATGAGACAGATACCAACAATCTTTCCTGTTTGTAGCGCCAGGCAGAGTGACTTGAGAAAGGCCACAATTTGTTTGACTTGTGGACATTAGTAATCCTCAGAGTGAGTGAGCAAACGTTGTATTGGATTCAATCTCAGGTCACAGACCTGAGCTTCAATGCCTCATTCACTAAGATACCCAATCCCCAACTCAGCCCTCGCTTAATGCTGTGCTGACACGTTGGTGAAATCCGCACTGTTAGTGGCCACATCTCCATGTGTAACCACCAACCTTCCTTGATGCCTCTTTGCTCCATGTGCTTGTTCGCTTGCCGTCAACTGATCTGTTGCTTTGGAGACCTGTAGCAAATTGGTTACTGAGCTCGTCTCGCAAGAGAACAGACCGAAGTTCGAATCCCAGGCAGGTCGAAACCTTAGGCAAGTTTCCTTACTTCACACATCCCATTATTTACCCAGCAGTAAGTAGGAGCCCGGTTGTTAGTCGATTGACGGATCACTTTCCTGGGGTAATAATCCCTCCCCCAAAAAAGAAATAATGATTTGGTCACTCAATTCACAACTATTTGTGGGACACTGCTGTGCGCAATTCACTGCTGGATTTTGCCCACAAAATATACAACAACAAAATACATGTGTATAGCATCTTTCACATCAGGAGGACATTCCAAGGCACAGGAAAGTCAGTGTTTCAGACCTGAGCTGGCATTGGGTTTGGGGAGGGTGGAGATAAGGGGGGAACAGGGTGATCGAAAGCACAATCAAAGAGGAGAGTCTTAATGGAGGCAAGAAATAGGGCGAATTGGCTGGTCTGTGGGATGGAGTTCCAGAGGGTTGGGGCAGAGTGGCAGAAGGCCCAATGTTGGGACAGGTGAGGCAGGGAACCTGAAGCTGGTCAGAGCCAGCTGAGCGGAGGGAAGAGAGAAGATAGCAGATTCTTCGCTCTCCACAGAATCTAAAGTGCTTGTAAAATCATAACTAAACACAGCAACACCGAATACCTTCCAGGTTCTCCGTGCTGAATGCCACCTCCAGGAGAAACTGCCCTCAGACAGTGATACAGGCCCTCGCCACTCTGTTGAGATGAGAGCCACAGGCCCAGGCCGGGACTCAATCGATAACAGTGAGCAATGGGATTCGGGTTCCAAGTGTTATACAGTGTCACAGAAACTCTTGGTCCCAGAGTTCGAGTAATCATGCCAAGATGGAACTGGATGCTCTAACATTGATGGTCAGGTGATCAGTGACTTGTTCTCTCAGTAAACGCTGTTGGTAACGTGCTGAAGTGGGAGAGGGAAGCTCGAATCCTGAAATCTCTCTGTGAACGACTTTACTCAGTTTGTCCCCAGGGCATTGGTCCACGTACAGGCACTGTGATCAGGACCTTCCAGTACCTCACTCACACTTCATGTTGGGTCCAAATGTGGGGTTCTGGGCAATGAACAGAATAAGACAAGCTTATTCTTTGTAGACTTCCTTTAAATAAGGACTCTTGAGCAGAAGAACTAAAGCCACACAGCAAATTAAGTTTGAAGTAATTTATTTACTTAAAATGAAATGTAAAGTTTGTTAGTTCAAAATATTACAAATACAACAGACAAGTCAGTACCATAGACACACGTCAGGATCAAAGTAAATAAACCAATAATTGCTCAGTCCATAAATCATACAAATCTTGTTTCTTTGATGGAGTTAGTTGATAGAAGTCCCGATCAGCAAGCAAAAGTCTTGCATCAATGGAAAGTCTCTTGATTCAGACCCGAAACCTCTTGCTTGGGTATTTTGATCTCAAAGTCAAAGTTGATGGTGGACAGCTGTGCTGTGCATTTTATTCAACAGTTGTTATATGTTGTTGTTCTCCTCCCGTTAAGTTTAAAACGATTTCAGAAGTTCTGGAATTTCTGCAGTCTTCCTTCTTCCCGAAATTGCTGAAGTTAACGAAAGTTGAGGAAATGATGGAACAGTCCACGACTTGAAGCCAAAGACAACACATTGGCTTCACCACTTCATATCGTCACACGAAAGATGGCTTTTTGTGTGGACGGCACCTGATGTGCTCTGTCCCAGGCTCATTCATGCTCTGAGTTTGGTTGGGGGTGACAGACATCACAGTCATCCCTACACAAAACCTGCCCGGGCACTTCCCAGAGCAGGAATCTCTGGGTAGTGATCAGGATCAGGATCTGGAATCCAGCAATATTTCCTTTTCTCCACACAAAGATAATCAGCCCAATTGTAGCTCCGATATTTGTCTTGACTGATAGTATATACTTTGCGGGCGCACAGCAGTGGTCCACAAACAGTCGTGGATTGAATAACCACATTTTTTTTCTCTAAAAAAACGGGTTCTTACTTACTGCTAGGTAAACGGAGGCATGTGGAGTAAGGAAACTTGCTTGAGGGTTCACCCTGCCGGGAATCAAACCCGGGTCCTCTCGCTTGTGAGGTGAGTGCTCTAACCACTGAGCTATGGGACTCCACAATAAAGGCTATAAGCGAAATACCTTGCAAATGAGTAAAATGTGGATAAATAAAAATGACGGGGGGAGTAAAAGGATTAGGAACTCACCATAGAGTGGGGATCGTTGCCCTGACTTCCCTCCCCCTCCTCCCCCCCCCTCCCGTGGGCTGTGTAGAGAGGGATTTGAACCTGAGCCCTGTTGGTCTGTGTGGCTGAGAGCAGTGACTTTACTCTGGAGAGTGGGAGGGAATTCCGGCTGTGGAACGCAGAATTGTGATACCGTGACTGGATGTTTAGTGAGAAGATGGTGGGAAATTCTATTGCCAGTGTAAGTTATAATCCTTTAATGAATTTAACAGCCAGTTCTCGTAAACAGATGGACGTTTTGCAAAGTAAGTTAACGTGGATTAGCGGGCCCCAAAGCATTTTAGACTGGTTTTAAATACTGGAGCAGCTGTGGGAAACTGCCTGAAAACTCTGAGATGCCTTCATTGTATCAATAAGAAAGATCAAGGGGGATGTCTCTGCTCACAACAGCGACCAAAGGATCAGAGGAATGTACAGCACGGAAACAGTCATTCAGCCCAACCTCTCTGGGCCGGTGTTTATGCTCCACCCATACCTTACACGCAATTCCTGATAACTTGTCACGCCAAGGCCAAGGGCTCAGTGACGAGTTATCGGAGCAGTGAATTAGGCATGTGTGTAAATACATAAATAAAAGTGGTCCGAATATTGAGAGCATGATGACTTAAGCGGTAGTGACAAGTTAAGCCAGGGTTGAGTTATCAGGAGTTTTCTGTATCTAGCTTCCTCTTTCATCATAGCAGGAAGCTATTTGACCCACTGAGCAAAATTTCCCATTGGAGCTAATTATCCCAACTCCTTGCTCTTATTCTGTGCCCTTTTATACTCTTCCTCTTCGAATATCTGCCAATTCCCTTTAAGGTTTATGTTTCTGGTATTCCATGCTCCAATAACCTCCTGTGCGGGATTTTCTTTTAACCTTCCCAGTAACTTTTCCAGTGATGTTCCTCAGCTCACGGTCTCTTGTTCCCGATTCCCCGAGCGGTGGGAATTATCTCTCCTCCTCAAACCTCCCAGAATTCTGAAAATCAACGTTCAAAGGTGAAAGTTGATGATTCCAACCCAACTGCATTCATCGCCTGGGTTCTGCTCTGATACATTGAAAGCTTACAGTTAACAGGTATTGTCCTCATTGTGCGATTAGAGAGTACGGCAATGTTAATAACAACAACAAAATAAATTTGAATAACGCTCACATCGGGTGGGAGTTCCCAAAAACCACTAGACAACAATTTACATTTATACAGTGCCTTTCACATCGGAAGATGGTCTCTTATTGTCAGTCATGTGAAGCGCTTTGAGACAAAGGCCCAAAAGAGTCTGGAGATTTTCGGGGCCAAAGGTGCGGCCTCCAGCCCCCAGAGGCCAAGTCGAGGGCTTGGTGCCCGGCAGAGGGAGGAAATGGAAACACAGAAACTGATTGTATCATCGCTCTAGAGGGTGACCATTTCTCAGGCGCTTGATTGAAAGTTCTGGGTTGAAGACAATAGTTTTGTTTGTTGGGTAACAGTGTCAGCCACGCCCAGTGTTACCCCTCAGGCACATTCTTGGTGGTCTCATCTGAAGGTATTCCACCTATTAACTTGATTCAGTGAGAAGTGAGAGGTAAACCTTTGTTCTGTGAGGGTTTGGGAGGACCACTCCACTCAGACACTCTCAATTCGCCGCCTCTCCTTCTCCATCTTTTCCTTAATTTTTTTGAAGGTCGGCCTCTTGCCCGGATCCTGTTCCCAGCAGCATTTCATGGTCTCGTAGATGGGAGCCGGGCACTGCTCAGGTGGTTCCATCCGATAGCCGTTCGCCACCTCCGCTGTCACCTCTGTAAGGGACTGAAACAATATCGGTTTCATGTCAATGTCGCTCAGTTCCACCTTAGTCACCAAGGAAACAGAGCTGTCAAACACACCTCAAGACTCACAACAACAACAATAATAATCCTTGCATTTGATATAGCGCCTTATCGCATCTTCGAGCAATTTGGGGGTTCGCGATTCCCATCCCAGCAAAGTGATTGCCTCTCGTCTCAACCCCTTTTGATCTAATTTTAAGGATGTGACCTCTCCTCACTGACTGACTGTCCCACAAGGGGAAAACACTGTTTGACTGTTTATTGGTCGGGTCACCTCCTCCCTCCCCCTGGCTCGAGGTCAGCATCCGCCACTGTTACGCACTCCGAGACGCTGCACTGCATGAAGGGCGCTGTGTAAATGCAAGTTGTTGAACCCCAGTGTATAAATCTGACAACCCCCACCCTCGAGCTCGGATCCCCAGGTATGTGAAGCCCTTCCAGATGCAGAAGGCACTGCGTAAAATGTATATTGTGTTGCATGTCTGCAAAGAGTGGAGGCTGCGTTGGAGCCCCCTGGAGGACAACCCGAGACGGGTTTCTCTGTACCAGAACCCCAGGCTCCGAGCTCTAGCGGTGACTGAGCGTGAGAGGCAGCGAGCATCATGTGAGGATAAAGGCAGGAGGATAATGCAGGATTACGGGCAGGAAGCTTTGCTGCCATGTTAAGATTGCTGCCAAGGGCATCGAGCACGAGAGAAGCCTGTGAAGACGTGGATAAAGGTCAACTGGTTCCAAGTATTTTTAACTCTTCAGTGGATTGAAAGGGAATTGATTTTTCACCACTTTCTGGCAAGCGAGGGAGCCAGTGTGGGCACTTACTGGTTTGGGATAAATGGATTAGGATGTTCAATATTCCTCTCGAAAACCACACACACACACACAATCTTTCAAACAACAATAATAATCCTTGCATTTGATACAGCGCCTTATTACATCTTCAAGACTTCTCAAAGCGCTTCACAGAATGTACTATAAAGTGAATTGACTGTATTTTGTGGGCAAAACACTTCAGCCAATTGCGCAAATCCTTGCAGCGTCCCACAAACAGTCGTGGATTAAAGTGACCAATTTTTTTTGGAAGAAATTATTACCCCCAGTAAAACAACCCAGTTCCTTCTTACTCCTAGCTTAAATAGTTCAAAGGCTGTTGTTCGGAGCCTGGGATTAGACGCAGAACTTCTCTCTCTTACGTGATTGCCACAATCCCCAGTCTGTTTTCAGTGGATTGAGGGTGTCGCCCTGAGATGCGAATTCCCCCGCCCCACATCTCATAGGAACATAGGAATTGCTAGACTAAAAAGACCAAGATCCATCTCGTCCTCTTTCTACCATCTAATGCAGATGTTGATAACAATTAATTCTGGATGGATTAGTCTACCAACACAGTGGAAAGCTTTGGGAACCTTAGATCCAAAGTTGCCTGGTTCTTCCAAGCCAAACTATACTTACTATACGTCATGTCTCTAATTACTCCCATATACTGTATTCCAAAATATTATTTTCTAAATAAATCTATCTAATTCGTATTTGAATGAATTGACACTATCTGCTTCCACCGTCTCCCTCGGAAACCTATTGCAATTTTGCGGTGTCAGCGCCTAAATTTCAGATCTCTGTTGTCTCGCTCTCACACCCCGGTCAGGATCGAGACTCACCATTTTGGGATAAGGTGCCCGTCCATAGGAAAACAGCTCCCACAGGAATATTCCGTAGCTCCACACGTCCGACTTGGTGGAGAATTTCTGGGGGGTGGTGGAAGGAATTACAAGACTCATTAGAGCTCTCCAAAGCAATTACACTTGTAATAATCTTAATTCACGGCAGCAAGAAATCACCGGGGACTGCTTTTCTCCCTCACTGAGCTGGTTACAGTCTCCCATTCACACAACACAGCCTCGGGGGAGAAAGGGGCCAGGTCTGTGGGAGGGGAGGATTGGGTTACCGGCGACCTGAGAACTGTCAAGGCAATTGGAGGCTTGTCAACGCACACAAGCTCTGTCTGCCCTTAATGGTTAAATTGGTCGCAGATTGGAATGAATGGGCAGGTAACACAGCACGTGTTGATATCTAACGCTCTGCTGAGATTGAGAGGAAATCCCAGGTTAAGCCTGGGAGAAAGGAATCTGCCCGATTTGAGGAGCTTCAGGCGAGTTTAGGCCCATTTAAAGCATCAGCGATTTCCCACTATCACACTTCCACGACTGTCACACTGAGGCCGACACAGAGTGAGTCTTGGGTCTGCGCTGTGTGAGCCGCATGATGATCACACCTTATAATAATCCTTCAATACAATGTCTTATCACGATGTTGAGGCAAGGAGGCAAGGGAGGGAACGAGGCGAAGGGACTGTGGGATGGAGTCCCAAAGGGTGGGAAGGGAGGCTGAAGGCCCGACTGCCGATGGTGGGGAGGGCAAGGTGGGGGACGTGGAACAGGCTGAGCAGAGTGAATGGACATGTCTGCATGGAGTTAGCAGGTGACAGAGCTAGGGAGGAGCAAGGCCGTGGAGGGCTTTGAAGGCGAGGATGAAGTGGGCAGTGAGGCATTGCTGTCACTTACATGCTGTTTGAGAGCCTCAGGTGCCGTCCACTTGATGGGGAGCTTGGCCTGGTCCTGCTTGTTGGACGCGCCTTTGGCCAGTCCGAAGTCGCTGACTTTGGCCACATTCTGATCAGAGATGAGGATGTTGCGGGCGGCTAAATCCCGGTGAACCAGCTTCTTGGACTCCAGATATTCCATTCCCTCACAAACGTCACTGCCAACAACACAGCCCAGAATCACACCCTGTGCACTCTCCTTTCCTTATCTTTACAACTGTGAACCCACAAGGCGCAACCATCTGGGCTGCGATGTCCATATATAAGTGTGTGGGGGGGAGGTTACGTATGTATGAATTTGTGTATGGGTGTGGGCATGTTTATTGGGGTATGGCTGTCTATGGGAGTGCGTATGTTTGTGTATGTATATGTGAAAATGAGTGTGGTGAGAGTGTGCATTGGTGTTCCGCAGAGTGTGTGTCTGTTGTGTGCAAGTGTCTGATGTTTGGGTGTGTGTATAGCTGTGTGAGTGTGTATGGGTGTGTGAGTCTGTATGGGCGTGAGTGTGTATGGGCGAGTGAGGGTGTATGGGTGTGTGAGTGTGTATGGGCATGTGAGTGTGTGTGGGTGTGTGAATGAGTGCGTATAGTGTGTGTGTATGGGTGTGTGAGTGAGTGCGTATAGTGTGTGTGCGTGCGCGTTTGCAACAGCATGATCTGAGATCGCCTCCTGATGTTCACCAGTGAGTGAGTGCGTATAGTGTGTATGCGTACAGTGTGTGTGTATGGGTGTGTGAGTGCGTATAGTGTGTATGCGTACAGTGTGTGTGTGTATGGGTGTGTGAGTGAGTGCGTATAGTGTGTGTGTGTGTGTGTGTGTGCGCGTGCGTGATCTGAAATCGCTTCCTGATGTTCACCATCAAAACTCAGGCAAGAGCGCGGCACGGAACGGGTTAAACCCAAGTTGACAGTGACACAAATCAGGAAGGGAAATAACCAGAGAGAGTGGCAGACCCTCAGCAGGTCAGGCCAGCGTTACCCACACAGGTCTCTGCCTCGCTTTACATTTGGCTGTTTGTAACCCGCCCGCCTCTGCCTCGGCCTGGAGCGAGTGGGCTGTAACTGGGAAAGTGGATTGTAATAAAGGAATCATTAGTCTCTCATTAGCACTAATTGCCCGGAACAAGTGGAGGGTGAAGATAACTAAACAACAGCTGACAAGTGCTTGACATCTCCAGCACTGCCTATTCTCCGTGCTCTTTAGCTAAGCTCGAAGCTGCTGATCCAGGAAGAAAGGGACAGAGTCTGTCTCTTGTCTCTGAAGGAGGGGGCTTCACACATTGATCTCCCCCACGGGGGGGTGGGGTGGGGGTGGCGGTGGGGGCTTGCGCTGGGCTGAGCCCCGGCCCCACACAATGCTCCCTTTAGCAGACAGAGCGTAAACTTTGTGGGGTAGCGGAGTCGCTGCAGACTCCGGGCTGGGAGACCTCAAACGCTGGTGGGATTGGAGCTCGATGACCCGTGGCTAATCTGCAACAATGAGGGACGAGAGCTTTGCAGGACCAGTCCAGCCAGTTAATTGGAGGGTCTCATTAAATGGATCAGATTTAATTAGTACCACGTGAATGCTCTGTGACACCCCCTCCCGCCCCCCACTCCACACACACAATCCTCCCCCCTCCACACACACACTCCACCCTCCCTCCACACATACACACACACACACACACATCCTCCTCCCTACACACAACATACACACTCCCTCCCCCCCACATACACACACACACCCTTCCTCCCCCTTCCACACACGCGAGCACATGCACGCATACATACACCCACACCACCCCTGCTCCAAAATGGGGTCCACTTCTCTGTTCATTCACTTAAAGTTTAGGTGGAGGGGATAGACAAGAGGCTGCGTTGGAGCCAACACGCAAAGACACATGGAATACACGGCGATACATTAACGTGCTCAGTAAACTGGTGGCCGACAGCCATCAGAGGAAGGTATAAAGGTGAAGGTCAGACCAAGAAGTGTAGGAAGGGGGTGACTGGTCAGGAATCCTGTCTTGTTCTTTTTCCCAGTTTTAATTATAATAATCCTTGCACTTGATACAACGCCTTATCACGTCTTCGAGACGTCTCAAAGCGCTTCACAGGATACACTGCAAAGTGAATTGAATGTATTTTGTGGGCGAAACTTGGCCACACCCACAAACAATAAAATAAATGGAAATATTAAATGAATGATTGAGTTAGCGTTGAGGGAGAGGAGGAAGCGGTTAATATCCATGGAGGAGCACTGACTCACAGTCCAAACCGGATCAGATGCTTCACTGTGACGACTGATCGGCCCCGGGTTCTCAAATAGTTAACGAGATTTCCCTGGAAAACAAACAGAAAAGAAGGAAAGATCAGTTGCTCATTTCTAATATCCTTCAATTGGCCAACTGCTCTCTGCCCCCAGGTGACTGTCCTACAGGTCAGGACATCACCCAGGGTCAAAACATAAGCAAGAAGATGAGCAGGAAGTGGTGGTTAGGTCGAGGCCAAGTTCAGGGTTTAAAAGTCTGTCGAGGAAAGGATGAGTGAGGGAGATGAGGAGTCCTGTAGAGTGCAGGAAGCAGGGAAGGAACAGTGAAGGGGAGATATAGAGAGAGACAGAGAGGACAGAGAGAGATGGAAAAAGATAGGCTGAGTGAATGGCTGCCGTACCTTACTCATAAAGTCAGTGATGATGTGCAGTCCGTTGTCCACAATCACCCCCAGTAATGTCACAAGGTTTTTATGTTGCAGGTTCCTGTGCAGATAGAGGACAAGTTGTCAGAAAGGAGAACCATCCAAAAGCATGAGTCACACAAAATATACAATCACTGTACTTTACAGTATATTCTGTGAAGCGCTTTGAGACGTCTCAAAGATGTGATAAAGCGCTATATCAAAGCAAGGATTATTATTATAAGGGCAACATTTCAATTAAGAATTATCAATATATATTTCATATACATTTCATTTGGAGCTTTATTGGATGTTTGAGTCATCTCAAAGTGGTTTATTGTAAAGTGTAGTGACTGTGTATTTGTAGGTGAAAGCTGCAGCCAATTTGCTCACAGCAACATCCCACAAACAGCTATGAAGTGAGTGACTGATTTCATTTGGTGGATTGTTGGCCAGGACACCAGGAGAATCCCCCTTCATGTAGGAGGAACAGAAGAGTAAGGGAAGGAGGGAGGGAGGGAGGAGAGGAGTCCTGGACAGTGTAGGAGGAAGGGAAGAAGTGCCATTCTTCAGATGAGCTATTAAACCAAGGTCCCATCTTGGCCTATTCAGATGGACATCAAAGATCCGATGGCACTTCTTGAAAAGAGAGGGGAGTTTGTTCTGGTGTCTTGGCCAACAATCCTCCAGACAAAACTGGTCAGTTATTTCATGGCTGTTTGTGGGACATTGCTGTGTACAAATAGGCTTCTGAGTTCACCTAAAAATACACAGTCACTACACTCTGCAGTAAATCCTGTAAAGAACTTTGAGATAAGATACTCTATCCAATGCAAGAATTTTTATCATTATAAGAGTTGGAGGGGTAGGAGCTCTGTAGAATGTAGGAGGTAGAGTAGACTGAGGGTGGAGAGGTGTTACAGTGTTCACATCCGTAGGTAGGATGAGTTACAGGAGGAGATTGTGTGGCTTATTTTGAGAACATAAGACTCCGGGCTGCTCCACGTCCGTTCCCCCCTGTCTGCTCCACTATCGCTGGTTGGGCTTTCAGCCTCTCTGCCCCCACCCTCTGGAACTCCATCCTGGATTCCCGTTGCCTGACCCCCTCCCTTTCCTCCTTCAAGGCTTATCTCAAGACTTTCCTATTCGTCAGAGCCTTTGGTCATCTTCCTTCCCTTTACCCTCCACCCCTCTCCGACCCCAACCCTCATTGTCCAGCACTTTGGGACGTCCTTCTGATGTGAAACGCAATGTAATAAATACAATTTGTTGCCGTTGCTGCATTGAGTTAGTTGGGGGTATGCTGGTGCAGCATTGTGAGCTGTAATTGGCCAAGTGCTTCCGGGTAGTGAACAGGAAAATCAGCCACGTTCCCACTCCCGATCCCCGGTTAATTTCTTGGCTACAGGAGTGACTGTTGGATGTTGGGTGAGGCTGGGATTGGGCTCAGCTGGGAAACCCGTGGTTGAACACCCTCCCGCCTACTGTCTGAGCTCTGAGACGCCATCCGGCATGAAGGGAGCTGTATAAATGTAAATTGTTATTGTTGTTGAGCTCACGTGTGAAGAATGGCAGCCCGGGTGAGAGTGTATGAATTGGACAATGTTTGCTGCCCACGTCTGATACATCACAACCTCCTGACTCAGAGACGAGAGTGCTACCAACCGAACCAGGCTGACAGGCTGACAAACTGCAGATGGCCTTCTTTAAGTCCTGTAGCTCAGTGGTTAGAGCACTGGCTTTGCAAGTGAGAGACCTGAGTTCAATTCCAGGCAGAGGGCGAAACCTTGGGCAAGTTTCCTTACTCCACACAGAGCCTAATAATAATCCCTCCAAAACAAAACAATAATAAATTGGTCATTTTCAATCTACGACTGTTTGTGGGACATTGCTGTGCGCAATTGGCTGCCGCGTTCGCCCACAAATATACAGTCAATTCACTTTACAGTGTGTTCTGTGAAGCGCTTTGGGACGTCGAGAAGACGCGAAAAGTGCCATATGAAATGCAATGATTATATTATTATATAATCGAAAGCCTCGGGAACAGGGAAATCGATGGGAAACTCTGGAGCTCTCAATGCATCGAGTGTCATATCACTGGGTTACAGCGCCACCTGGTGCACACACTGCAACCTGCAGGTCCCCACTGTTCTGAGCCTTCACAACCCTTCTGCCTTTCTCAGCCTTACATTTTGATACGGCGCCGAATCACAACACTTCAAAACACTTCACAGACTATTCTATAAAGTGAATTGACTGTATATTTTGTGGGCAGAAAGCGATCCGCCAATTGACTAACAACCGGGTTCCTGCTTACTAATAGGTAAACCGGCTGGTGGAGCAAGGAAATTTGCCTACCGTTTCGCCCTGGTAGGGGAATCAAACCCAGGTCCTCACGCTACATGCCTTCAAACTATCATCCTCATTGCTCTCCTCTGCACTGTCTCTGTGGCCCGTGCAGCCCTTTATGTCACGGTGACCAGAGCTGTAGATAGGATTCTAGGTGCGGCCTGACCAGACTCTGGGGATCTAAACTCAACTGATTTAGCAACATAGCACAGTGTCCTGTTGTCCTTGTTTACTGCTGCCTCACACTGTGTGACTCAGTGAGGATGATCTCAATATGTCAAAACAATGAGATCATGTTCAGATAGATCTCTTTCCGCTTCGCCTTTGGGACATTCCATCCCATCCGTGGAATACTTGTGTTTTCCAGTCTTGCCTCCTATATGTTGTACTTTATCTGCATTCAACTTCATTTATCGGTTATCAGCCTGAGTGTGTTTCCTCTCTGTACGAACCTTGCTCTGATTCCACATTTCCCCCAACTTAGTGTCAACCGCAAGTTTAACTACGTAACACTAGTTCCTTCTGCTTCCTTCCCTTCAGCCAATTCTGAATCGACGTCCACATCTTGACACCCAGTGACCACAGCTTTTTACGGAGTCTTTAAGTGGTACTTTGTCAAATGCCTTTTGAAAGTCTAGATGTACCATATCATCATTCCTGGTAACATTTCTGTAAATCTATACTGTAATCTCTATAATGTACTTCCTACTTCTTATTTGCTGGTGCTTTGGTTTGCCAAAGCACACTCTGGGGTCCCCAATCCTTGGCTCTTGCCAACAGTTTCTAACAGTTTCCGGAATTAGGTAAGCAGGAAGTGTCCCTCCAGGGAGGGAGAGAGAGTGCATTCTATTTCAACAGTCTATCTCTGTGATTTCCATGTGGAGGTGGGATGCAAGGAAATCTCAGTTTGGTTAGGAGACTCTTAAGCAATGTTGTTGGGTTTCCGCCTGTGTCAGATACCCGGCTGACCAAAAAAATACTTCTTATAATATGTTGACTGGAAATGCACACAGTACTTCAAATGTGGTCTCACCAAGATTTTATATAAATTTGACATGACTTCCCTAGTTTGTGGAGTCCTGTAGCTCAGTGGTTAGAGCACTCGCCTTGCAAGCGAGAGACCTGGGTTCAACTCCAGGCCGGGTGAAAGGTTGGGCAAGTTTCCTTACTCCACGCCTAATAATAATCCCTCCAAAACAAACAATTAATAATTGTTCATCTTCAATCCACGACTGTTTGTGGGACGCTGCTGTGCACAATTGGTTGCCGCATTTCACCCACAAATATACGTCAATTCACTTTAAGCATATTCTGTGAAGCGCTTTGGGACGTCTAGAAAACGTGAAAAGTGCTATATCAAATGCAAGGATTATTATTATTATTATTATAATCTGTTCCATTAAATAATAAAGCCAGGACTGTATTTACATTCTTTATGGCTTTGGCCAGGTGAGCTGCTACTTTTAAAGTCCTGTAAATCTGGATCACCAGATCGCTTTGCTCCTCTCCCCTCTCAATTTCCTCGTCAGTCTTTTTATTCTTCCAACCTCAGTAACCTCGTGTGCAGTATTGTTACAGTGAGTGATGTTAGCGGGTACGCCTTCCATGAAATGGGTATTTTATTTAAAATGGGAAACCAGCTTAGGTGGCTCCATGGTACAAACCACAACCTTTTGACCGACGAGACAAGAGAACTCCATCCCACAGTCCCTCTCACTTGCCTCTTTCAAGACCCATCCGTCTCAAGACCCTCCTCTTCTTCCTCGCCCTCCACCCCTACTGATCCCAACCACTAGTTCAGCGCCTTGGAACGTCCTCCTGACGTGAAAGGCACTATACACGTTTGTTGTTGTTGCTACTGCCTGAGCCAGGCTGGTATGAATGAAGCTTTCCTTATTTTTAACGGGGAGGTTGGCGTTCCAAACAGGGGGCTAAATGGATAAAGAGAGATTAGAAATTGGTGGAGAGAATCTGTGTACGAGACAAGCTCTTCAAGTGTCTGTCCTTCGTGTGTAAGCTTGGATAGGAAGGTTCAGCAGCACATTCAAACACAAGGGCTGGTCAGTGGCACTTTTCTAGAATAATGTGTGCCTCAAGACAATACTCTGCCCGAGAAGAGCTGTGACCAAAGACACAGGGCTCAGCGAGTGACTGAAGTAACTGACACTGAAATACTCACGTCATAACCGCTGTCTCCTCCAGGAAGGCCTGAGCCATTACATCGCACTTGATATTTTTGACGGCCACTTTCTGCCCCATGTAGTCAGCCTGGAAAACATCTGGGGAGTGACACAAAGTGCAATACAGGGAGGTCACACACAAGTGTCTCTTCAACAGGAACAATCTTCACAGCGTCACTGTGCTTCAAGGCACTATCCCACAATGAAAGGTGCTGAATAAGTGACCCGAACAAGACTCATGTGTCTGACACATGTGGAAACCCAGCACCGCTTAAGAGTATTCAAACCAGACAGAGTTACAGGCTTCCCACCTACAAATGGAAATTCCCGTGTTTAGAATGGAATGCACACTCTCCCCAGATGGAAGCACCCTTTTTACCTAATTATGGAGATTACTAGGGCACAGTTTGACAAGGTTTGGAGACCGTGGAGTGTGAAATGGGAAACTGAAAAAGTTTAACCAGCTAAAAACATCTGGGGAGTGACGGCTAGAGGTCGTGAAAAGCGCGATATCAAATGCAAGGATTATTATTATTATTAAAACTGCAGAGCTTGTCATTCAAAGCATTGTCTGGTAAGCTTCTCACTGCTTATCCAGCAAGGACCACCCTACCCATTAGGACTTTGCTTTGGGTAAACCTAGCATCTGAGTCTGCCTCTCCAAGATCTGCCAATGGCTCATGAGCCAGGCTGGCTGGTCTGTCATCAGCACTGCTGTAGACTAGAGTACTGCAGCCCAGCCTAGCTCAGAAACCAGGTAATGAGACTGCCACCCACGCTCTATTTCCTTGTAGATTTTGTAAATTACTTTGATCAGTCAGAGCAAGGTGGGCGTCATAACATCAGAAGAAGCCAAAATGTGTTTGTAACACTCCTTTCCTGTCCAATCTATTCTTAGTTTAAAATGATCCTTGTTCAAAAGTCTGCTTAGTTTGACAGCAATTACCTGTGTCATACTCTGAGATGTTTAGAGATCCCATGGTACTGTTTGAAAAGAGACGGGAGCTTCTCTCTCCTGGTGTCCTGGCCAACAATCTCCCAAATAAAATTGTATTGTGATATGTGGACGGCAGAGTAAGGGTAAGGTTGGGCTTAGTATAGAAACGTAGAAACAAAGAAACAGGAGGAGGCCAGTCAGCCCTTCGAGCCTGTTCCATTCTATAAGATCATGGCTGATTTGCACCTCAACTCCAATTACCAGTCCTTGCCCCATATCCCTTGATACCCTGATCTCTCGGCTGTGATAACAACAACAAGTTGCATTTATATAATATCCATATAAGGGAGGTCATCTCCAGGCACTGGTCAGTGAAAGGTTTGCAGCCCAGCTGGAGGTTTGGATCAGAGAATGGTGGAGGGCAAAGGTGGGTGGAGGTGGGAAGATGACCGAAGGCACGGTCAAAGAGGAAGGTCTTGAGACCTTAAAGGAGACAGTGGAGTGGGTGAAATGAAGGGGTTCATAACGGCTGTCACAAAAAAAGCCTGTGTGTTCAGATGAAGTCCCAGAGGGAACTGATTCTCCAGGATGAGATTGGGGGTGGTTAGAATGTGAGAGGTCTAACTCATCTGTCCACAAAATACAAAGTCACTACACTTTGCAATATATTTTGTGAAGCGTTTTGGGGCATCTTAAGGATATAATAATAATTGCATTTGATATTGTGCTTTATCACATGTTTGAGACATCCTAAAGCACAGAATATACCATAGAGTGACTTGACTGTATATTTTGTGGGCGAAACCAGGCAGCCAATTGCGCACAGCAGCGTCCCACAAACAGCCTTGGATTGAGTGACCAAATTATTACTATTTATTTTATTTATTTAGAGCCTAATACAAGTATTATTATTATTATATATTACTGTAATGTTGTGATGTCCTTCTCTTGATCTGACATCGACGTGTTACAATAGCTTTAACAATGGCCTTAACTATCACCTGCAGCCATCGAGCAGCGTATGGTTATGTTGTGTTTTACAAGACTCTGCTTGAAACCTATGCGGCGAGTCTAAAAAAGTAGAGTGTGAAGAAGTATTTTGGCTCAGCAGGCGCTGGTAATCAACTTGGCTTGATACTGAAAACAATATTTTCCATTTGCGATACTGCATTGGCTTGTCAGGTGTCAGCCTATCTCAGGCTGTAGCGCTCTCGCCTCCGTGTCAACAAGTTGTGGGTTAAACGTCCACAGAAAAGTCGTGCGTGTCAACTCACACTATGTGAGTTCAAAATCCAGTATCACTGAGTAACATAGTCTGTGCTGGCACTCTCAGCGCAGTGCTGGGGAGGTGGGGGAGTGAGGGAGGTGATGGGGGTGGGAACACTGCATTCTCATGGGACACAATGTTAAACCAGGTGTCGTTGCCTGTGTGGATGGACGTTAAAGCTCCCATGGAGCTATTCAAGAAAGAGAAGGGAGTATCTCTAGGTGTCCTGGCCAACAATCTCCAGAGTTCCCGTGCTGGAAGGTACCCAGTGTAGAGGTTGGGGTAAGGACAGGTTCAGGCTTGATTGTGATGCCCCCCACCTTCCCCCAGACTCCAGAAGCATTTATCTGTCATCAGCAGTGCCCTAAAGTACTGCAAATCTGTCTGGCTCAGCAGCCATCCATGCTCTTATCTCCTTGTAGCTTTTGCAAATGACTTTGATCAGTCAGACCAAGGTGGTTACCGATAACATTAGAAGACGCCACAGTGTGTTTGTGACACTCCATTTCCTGTCCAATCTATTCTTACTTTAAAATGATTGTTGATCAAAAGTCCCTTCTAATATCCTGTTAGTAAAGCAAAGCTAAGTGCTATGAAGGTACCTTCATCCTACCTCCTCCCCACCTTGGAAAGTCCGTATGACGCTGTTTGTGGGACACATCACTGCACAAATTGGCTGCCTCATTCGCCAACAAATGTATAATTTGGTCAAAGGATGATCGAAGGCACAGTAAAAGAGGAAGGTCTTGAGACAGGTCTTGAAGGAGGTGAGGGAGGGAGGCGAGGCAGAGGGACTCATCATGGCTGTCCTAAAAAAGACCTGTGTGTTCAGGCAAAGTCACAGAGGGAACTGGTCCCCAGAATCAGCAGGCATGAGGGTGGGGGGGGGGCTGCTGAGGGCCAGATGTTCTATTTGAGAAATGTCCGTGGGCCGCATAAGCAATACTCACCCCCAAACTCCCCTTCACCAACCTTGTCTCCCAACGTCAGCCTCTCCATACTGAGCAGCCAGCCAGCTGCAAGCAAATGGGAACAAGAGGAACTGAGGATATAGCCAGCAACACAGTGACAACAACAACAATTAATAATATTAGCAATAATAATGGAAGTAATAATAATAATCCTTGCATTTTGATTCAGCGCCTTATCATGTTGTTGAGATGCCTCAAAGCATATACAGAATATACTCTAAAGTGAATTGATTGTATATTTGTAGGCAAAATGCGGCAGCCAATTGCGAACAGCAGTGTCCCACAAACAGTCGTGGATTGAGTGACCAAATTTATTATTATTTTATTTTTTATTTTTGAAGGCATTATTACTCCCGAATAAGCGATCTGCCATCGACTAACAACCAGTTTCCTACTTACTTCTAGGTAAACAAAAGCGTGTGGAGTAAGGAAACTTGCCCAAGGTTTCATCCGCCTAGGTATCAAACCCAGGTCTTCTCGCTTGCGAGGCAAGTGCTCTAATCACTAAGCTGCAGGACTATAATAATGCTAATAATATGATAAACAATGATTATAATAAACAAAATACTGATAATAATGACAAAAATGACAATAATAAATAAGAATAATAATGTTGTATTTTTTTTACAGCAAATGAAATACTGAACCATCTCAAACTGCTTCACAGAGAGTAGGTATCATTTGGAATGACATTATACAGTACTTGTAGGCAAATGCAGCGGTCAATTTGCATACAACAGTGTCCCACAAATAACCTTGAGGTAAATTAAGCAAATTTCAATTATATCTGGGGAATCGTTGGCCAGGACATGGTTCTCTTTTCGAATGGGATCTTTATGATGGCATTGATGGCACCTCTGATAATGCATTGGAGCATCAGCTTGAACTGGGAGCTGAAGGTCCCATCATGAACTCACAATCTTCTGACTCAGAGACAAAAGTGCCAATGACTGAGCCGGGCTGACACCATATTGCTGGTTTCAACACACAGTAACATATCAAAACATGAATACCACATCATTATGTGGTTCCTGGAAAACTTTCAACATTTACTGGAGAATTGGCCAAGGACAATGCTTCACGGAAAGGAAATATACTAATAGAAATATGCAAATTGGTCTCACTATCAGCTCAAAGTGAAACTAATAAGGTGAAAAATGGGATGTTTCAAAATAGATTTGATGTGGCAACACCTTTCTGTTGTGAAACACTGAGTTGTGCATCCCAATAAATGTAAGTTAAATTGAATTAAATGCAGCAGGAAAGCTTTCAATATCAATGGCAAGCTACGTGGCTTTAGCTGGTTAGACTTGAGCAGTTACCCCAACGCACACTCTGGCCAGGAGTGTCAGCCCAGACCCTGAGCACATCATGGAGCTTGAGAGGTGAGAGTCCTACCATGTGCGCATCCACGTGGCATTCATGCACAAATGACTGTTTGTGGGACGCTGCTGTGCACAATTAGTTATCGCGTTTCACCCACAAAATACAGTCAATTCACTTTACAATACTTTATGTGAAGAGCACAGCTGTTGCCCATCTTGAGTTTGTGCCTTTACCTTTTGAGAGCTCCTCGGTGGCTGACTTTGCTCCTTCCTTATGTTTGGGCTTCGACAGCCTGGTGACGAGTCCAAATGCATCTTTCCTGTAATGCTAAAGAGATGGGAAGAGAAGAGAGTTCTTTACTGTAAAGACAATGGCTTTGCGGAGGTTTGTGAGGGCTGAGCAGCTTGTTTACATAGCACTGCTATGCGCTTTGTTTCGCCCTCAATCCATTACTGTTTGTGGGACGCTGCTGTATGCAATTGGCTGCCGCATTTTGCCCACAAAATATACAGTCAATTCAATTTACAGTACATTCTGTGAAGCGCTTTCAGACGTCTTGAAGACGTGATAAGGCGCTGTATCAAATGCAATGATTATTATGATTGTTGTTGTTGTCAATTTCCTCTCCAACTCAGTTGGCCATGACACCAGTTGTTCACCCTGACTGCAGATCAGCAAACTCAGCACATCTGTTAAGCAGCACCGCAAATTAGACACAATGTTTTCACCCCTAGAACAGTTTTTCTCAACGGTCAGGGTCACTGAGTCTGTTAAATCACTCAACCTAATAATCTGTGCATTTGATACAGCGTCTTTCACATAAGTCATCAAGACGTTTCAAATTGCTTAATGGGATGTTATTGAAGTGCAATGACTGGGTATTTTGCAGCTACTTTGCACACATCAATGTCCCAAAAGCAGCCATGAAGTTGAAGTTCCAGCCAGTTTTATCTGGGGGATTGTCAACTAGGACTCCAGGAGAGAGAAACTCCCTTCTCTTTTCATCGGGAAGCACTGCGCGATCTTTAATGTCACCTGAAAAGGGACGGCCAGGAAAAACCTTGGTTTAACATTTAACATCTCATCCAAAGGACAGCACCTCTGATAACGCAGCTCCCCCCAGCACTTTAGTGGAGTCTCAGCCCACAGCGTGAGCTCAAAATCCCAACATGGTATTTGACCCCAATTCCTCAGAATCAGAGGTGAGAGTTTTACGGATTGAGTCAGAAAAATCCGTACGGAAAGAGATCTCTGATAAGAACTTTCTGATGCCTTTATCAACCTGTTTAATGCCAGGATCGGTTTTTGGTATCTTCTTACAAGTGTTCTGGGACACTACCTGGTGTGAGGAGTGCTATATAAATGCAAGTTATTATTCTAGTTGTTGTAAAATGTGTGATTAGCATTGGTAACTGAGCCTGTGGGTCAGTGGAGGGTATCAGGCTTGGTCAGTTCTCTCTATGAGGAAATTTGGGGAAGTTTTGCAAAAGAAGTCAGGGAGATAAGGAATAGCGGAATAGGGTGTTTGAGGCCGAATTGTAATTGACTCACATTCAATTATCAGTAAGGCTCTAAATACAGAAGCATAATTTTACGCAGGGTTATTTTGGTCGCTCAGGTGGAAATATCTGACCAACTGCAGGGTGATGAATGGAAACTACAGTTGTTGCAAAGTTATAAACATATAAACAAAGATAAATAGAAGCTATTCTATAGCGTTTCGCTCCCAAACATACAGTCAATTCACTTTACAGTATTCTGTGAAGCACTTTGAGAAGTCTCGAAGTTGTGATAAGGCGCTGTATCAAATACAAGGATCATTATTATTATTAGCTGTAACTGGTAGTTAAACTCAATTGTGATTGTTCTGATACCTCTGCTCCCTCCTTCCCTCCCTCCCATTTCTCTCATCACCCTCCCTCTCTCCTCTCTCTACTGTGTCTTATGCCCTCAAACATCTTCATCTCCTCTCCCTTCTCTTCCTTTCCCCCTTCCCATTCTCCTCCTTCCCACCACTCTCCTCTCCCCTATATTTTCCCACCCAAACAATTGGTCACTCAATCCACGACTGTGGGACACTGCTCTGCGCAATTGGCTGCCGCGTTTCGCCCACAAAATATACAGTCAATCCAACAACAACGACAAGAAATTCACCTCTATGAGTTCGATGAAGTTGTCTTTCCGGTTAGGAGGACGTCCCAATGCACTTTACAATATATTCTGTGAAGCGCTTTGAGATGTCTTGACGACGTGATATCAAATGCAAGGATTATTATTATTATAATACTGTCAGTACAGCGAGGCAGCTTCATCAGCTATAAAAAGATATAAACATTTTTCTCTGATTTCCACCTCCCTCCTTCTTGCTGCACATTAAGTTTCAGTTATTTTGAAACTTCCCCAATTACTTGTGGGGTTAATGAAATTTTGCATGAAAACACTTCCCTTTTCTGCTGTTTGCAGAACAATAGTTTCCACCTGCAAGAGGTGTTAAAGCAGCTCAAATTCATGTTTAAATTTCCTGTCTCTTAATTTTCCATACAAGGGGGAGGGGGTGATATATTTGAATAAATTTAGATTTTTTCCGAGGGGAAGCAATTAGAATATAATAAATAATCCTTACATTTGATATATCACAAGATACACTGAAAACTTTAGAGACGGTGTATTTTTGTAGGTGAACTTGGCAGCTAATTTGCGCACAGCAATGTCCTACAAACAGCGATAAATTGAGTGACTCATTTTATTTGTCCGGTTTGTTGGCCAGGACATCGGGAGAAACTCCTTCTCCCTTCTCTGCCATGGGATCTTTATCAGCCAACTGAACGTGTAGAAAGGGTCTTGGTTTAACTTCTCGGCACTGCACTGAAATGATTATACATTATAGGAGTTCACAGTCCCCATGTGGGGCTTGAGCCCACAACCTTCTGACTCAGAGGCGAGAGTCATAGCAACTGAGCCAGGATGAGGAAGGAGCATCAAGTCCCTTCTCAGGCTGACAAATCAACCAACAAATTTCCATTTCTTCCTCCCATATCTGTAGTCTCCTGTTAATGCATACTCAAGACCCTCCTCTTCAACCATGCCTTCGGTCACCCTCCTTACCCCACCCTCCCTGCCCTCCACCTCTTCTGATCCCAACCCCCAGCTCGGGTGCGAATCCTTAACTGTCCAGCACCTTGGGACGTCTTCCTGACTATCCAGCGCCTTGGGACATCCTCATTTGCTGTTTTGTTGGGGTCAAGAGACAGTGTGGCCTCTGGACATAAGCAAGCAAGAACTCCTTTGGCTCAGGAAGCGTCCGCTTCCCTTTGCGAGCCAAAACCGCCCAACGCCACGGCACAGCCAGGAAATGGCCACTTCACCTCGATGAGTTCGATGAGGTTGTAGAAGTAATCGTTCTCATCGATGGTCAGCTTGTTGTCCTTGTAAATGACACGATAGTGGTTGATGCCGGAGTGGGAACTGACACACAGCACGTAGTCTCCGGGGTGGCGAATAGACTCGCGCACCAGGAACAGCCCATCCTCCTGGGGCTGCAGCTGCTGCACTGCATCCTCGCCCGAGATCTTCCCATGGAACCATCTGATGATCAAAGATACAGAGACACAGTTATCTCCGACCTGCCGTAAAGTCCCTGACTGTCCCAATACGGGTACCAGTGTCCCATGAAATGGAAACCCCTCTATTCCCACTCACATTCCTACATGAATGCATGGGAAACATTCTGATCTGCTTATCCTTATGCCAATTTGCAAGTGGATTGGGTAGTAATCCGGAGATTACCAACCAACATGTCCAATTGCCTTAAGCACCTGCTTCCCTATGAAGTGCTTGTTGAGTGTTCCTCACACTCAGACACCATTGTCCAGTTAGCACCTCTGTGAAAGGGGCGATGTCTGATATCGGGTGAAGACAATAGCACTTTGCTATTGTCCCGTCCCGACCTGTGTGAGGTCACAGAAGATGGTGAGGAAACCATCACCCAATAGAGGTCAGCTCCTTCAGAAAAGGAGAAGCATTTTTGGGGGAGTCTGACACATGCGGAAACCTATCATCATGTGAGAGTTCCATGCATCCCATCGACCCGTGGAAATCTCAAACATAGATTGTTGGAATGGAATGTACCCTCTTCCCAAGGAGGGACACATCCTGCTTACCTAATTCTGGAGCTGTATTAGGCACAAATTGGCAAGAACCAAGACTTGATGACCCCAGAGTGGGTGTTGGGATAACCGCTGGAGTCTAACCAGCTAAAACCGTATAGCTTGCCATTTAGAGCGCTGTCTGGCAAGCTTCCCTGCTGCTTGTCCATCTAGGACCATCCTACCCCTTTAGCGCTTTGGTTTACAGTTAACAGCAGCTGAGTGGGATGATGTCTTGGCCCCAGTGACTAGTCTGCCCTTCCAAATCCTGCCGATGAGCCAGACGGGTTGAACAATCATCAGCAGTGGCTTGGAATACTGTGAACCTGCGTGGCTCAGGAACCGGACTGCCGAGACTGCCAGGGAGGTTGGCTTGATTCTGACATTCTGTTGTCAAGTATGTCACCTTGGAGCCAATTCAGCTCCAAGAAGACCCGGCTCACTTGTTGGTGGTTCGACATTCGACAATTTGCAGGTTTGCAGGAGAAGGAAAATTGGGAAGTGTTTTATTAACAAATAAGATACTCACGGCATGAGACTGATGTGGGGATCGACTCTGATGGCCTCTCGTTCCCGCACGTTATTCCTGGCTATCAGCCCTTCCTCACCAGTCTTATTGTGTTTAGCTTTGTACACGCCTTTCTCCTAGTTACACAGGAAAATACAGCTCTGATGTGCACAGTCAGCACAGTATGTTACAGGTTTGAGGAATATCTGGCCACACATCACACCTCGACATGTACAATATCAGCAACACAACTTTCACACGCAATGTGAAATCGGAATTTTGTGATCAATGTGTTTACCGTGACCAGAGAAACAGGAAATTTACAACATATACAGTGCTATCACTCCCTGACTGGAGCTCTCCAATCCCATTCCCCTCCTTTTTTCCTTTTGTTTCTATGCTGCTGGTGCTCACTCCCCATTGAAGTCCTCTCATCCCATTTCCCTTGCTCTTTGGGACGACCTCCCAACGCGAAAAGCCCAACATAAATTTAATAGAGGTGTTCAAAATTATGAGGAGTTTTTTGATGGAGAAACTGTTCCCTCTGGCAGGTGGTTCAGTAACCAGGGCACATAGATTGAAGATAATTAGCAAAAGGGATACAAGGAAACANTTTTTTTACCCAGAGAGTTTTTTACAGTCTGGAAAGGGTGGTGGAAGCAGATTTGATAATAGTTTTCAAAAGGGAATTGGACATGTACTTAAAAAGGATACGTTTGCAGGGCTATGGGGAAGAGCGGGGGAGTGGGACAAGTTGGTAGCTCTTTCAAAGAGCCGGCACGGGCACGATGGGCCAAATGGCCTCCTCCTGTGCCTCAAAATTCTATGATTTTCTGATCGATTCAATTTATTGTTGTTCCCCCACTGTGCTTGAACATGTGCTCGCTCTCCCCTGGGGCCATTTATTCTAGATAGACCTCGCATTTATATAGTGCTGTTCACGTCAAAATGGCTCAAAACGTGTCACTGTCGGATACAATTCCATTCCCTTGGTCTCTCTCCGTGCCCCTTTAATATCACTTTTCCTCAATATTTATTCAAGTCTCAGCAACCTACATATGTCAGAATGTATCAGCTGCTTAGTTTGGCTTTGTAACAGAAGATAATCTGCCTTCTGTTTGTCCTTCCTTTCCTGACAGCGCTGACTCATGCTGGGGCACCAGTCACTCTCCTTCTCCCCCACCCACCAACTTCGCTCGTCCAAGTGACAAAATGTTGTCTGGTGTGAAGGGCGCTATATAAATGCAAATTGTTATTGTTGTTGACTTTTCTTAATCTGCAAACTGGGACAGTGAGTAGTGTCAGACTGTTAAACCACAGGGGATGGCAGAGATAATAATAATAATTATAATTATAATCCTTGCATTTGATGTAGCGTCTTATCGTCTCGAGACATCTCAAAGCGCTTCACCGAATACACTATAAAGTGGATTGACTGTGTATTTTGTGGGCAAAAAGGCAGCTAATTGCGCACAGCAGCGTCCCAGTGGTGGATTGAGTGACCAAATTTTTTTTTGATGGGATTATTTGAACAAATATTAACATTATAATAACCTGTTTCGTACTCTCCTAGGTAAACAGAGGCTTGTGGAGCAAGGAAACTTGCATGAGGTTTTTCCCCACCTGGGAATCGAACCCAGGTCCTCTCGCTTGCGAGGCTAATTTTCCAACCACTAGGCTACAGGAAGGCGTCCCAGCCAAGCCTGACCCGGTCATCACCTATATTCACAGACATTCAGTGATCGTGCACTTTGGTTGTCACTTGATAGTGATCAGTGGTAGAAAATGTGGCTGATGTGACCATGCTCTAGCCCAGGGTCATTGAGGTTACATGAGTCAACCTCCCACAGCTGAACCTGAGGTCCAGAATGATCAATGGCTTTTACTGAATCATGGGGAGAGGAGGGGAGAAGGTCGGAGGCTTTTTGTTCGACATTATTATAGCAGAAAAATACAGCTAACAATGGGAGTGACAAGAGGTTTCGTCTGCACAGAGCTGATAGCTGGGGCAAGCTTCTCATGTTGTGTCTTGTGAAAGGACATGTTCAAAGGAATCTTGTTCAAGAGGAAGTGAGACAGAAGGAAATGAATTGCTCTGTAACAAACTGCCTTTTAGATACTCACATTCACAATTTCCGTGATAGTCAGGAGATCACCTTTGTGAAACGGCAGCTCATTTTTCTTGGACGTCTTGTGATCACATTTGGCCACGCATTGTGTGCCAGGCCCCCAGCCTTTCTGCACGAACACAAGAAGCAATAAAAATAATTGTAAACGATTCCTTACATATACTGCGCCTATAATAATAATCATTGCATTTGGCAGTCCCCCCGCCTCACCCCCTCCCTTGCTCCTTCAAGACCCTCCTCTTTGACCGTGCCTTTGATCATCCCCACCTGCCCTCCACCCTCCCTGATTCACGTGTTCTTGAAGTCTCAAAGCGCTTCACAGAATAGACTCTAAAGTGAATTGACCGTATATTTGTGGGCAAAACATGACAGCCAATTGCGCACAGCAATGTCCCACAAACAGTTGTGGATTTAAAATGACCAATTTATTATTGTTTTTTGTTTTTGGAGGGATTATTATTAGGCTGTGTGTGGAGTAAGGAAACTTGCCCAAGGTTTCGCTCTGCCTGGAACTAAACCCAGGTGTCTCGCTTATAAGGCGAGTGCTCTAACCACTGAGTTACAGGTGTGGAGTAACACTGAAAATATGTCAAAAACATTTTGCAAGAGATTTTTTGGTAAAGTGTCGTGACCTGTGTATATGTAGGTCGGGTCTTCAGCCACTCTGCCCCCACCCTCTGGAACTCCATGCCGCAGTCCCCCCGCCTCACCCCCTCCCTTGCTCCTTCAAGACCCTCCTCTTTGACCGTGCCTTTGATCATCCCCACCTGCCCTCCACCCTCCCTGATTCCGACCCCAACTCAGGTCCAAAACACTGACTATCCAGTACCTTGGGATGTCCTCCCAATGTGAAAGGGGCTATATACATGTAATTTTGTTGTTGTAGGTGAGTGAACGCACCAGTTAATTTGTCCACAGCGATATCCCACGAAGAGCCATAAAGTAAATGACCGATTTTAGTTGGAGGATTGTTGGCTAGGGTACTGGGAGAAACTCCATTTTCTTCACCAGTAGTGCCATGGGATCTTTAACGTCCAGCTAAACAGCCAGCCATGGTTTAGGTGGCTCATTTGAATGTCTCACCTGAAGGAAGTCTGGCAATACAGCACTTCCTCAGCTCTATACTCCATCGTCAGCCTCGACTCTGAGCTCAAAGTTCCAACATGAGGTGACTCAAGAGGCAAGAGTGCTACCAACTGAGCCAGGCTGACATTTGGATACGGGCAGGGATGGGCAAGAGGCAAGGCAATGGGACTAAACACAGAGCTCTTTCAGAAAGACAATGCTGGTACGATGGGCCAGATGGCCTCCTTCTGTGCTGAGAATTTCTATGGTTCTAACATTAAAGGAAAGTTGTGAAAATTACCTCAGTGAGAACGCAGATCAAGAGGCTCACAGAATCACAGCAGACACCAGGAGATGATATTAAATGGTCAAACGTTACCAGAACGGTGACAAGGACACTGGATTCATTTAAGAAACATTCTGGAAGAATGATGCCAAATGATCCAAAGTGTCTTCTTCATCCAAACTTCTCATGATTACGAGAATCGATTTCAAGATCCTCTCACTTGTTTTCAAATCCCTTTATGCCCTCGCACCTCCCTAACTCTCCAATTTGCTTACTCGCCATTCCCCCACTCCCCTACCCACTGCCTCCACTCAGTTGGCTCCAACCTCCCTCGTCCTCTCCGCTCCACCATCGGGGACCATGCCTTCAGCCACTCTGCCCCGAAACTCTGGAACTCTCTCCCTCAATCCCTCCGCCTTGCCCCCTCCCTCGCAACTTTCAAATCCCAGCTAAAGACCTTTCTTCTTTTTGATTGTGCTTACTGTCACCTCCCTCGTCCCCTGGCTTGGAGGTCAGACTCCGCCACTGTCAAGCGCTCTAGGGCGCTACTCCACATTAAGGGCTCTATATAAATGCATGTTATTGTTATTGTTGATGAGTAATGTCCTGTTGAAGTGTTCTGTGTTTAAAATCCACTCTCCGGCCTGTCATTACTATAGAAGACTGCTTATTTAACAGATGTAACACAACTAAGGTCTGTGCATTGTTGAACTCACCGCTGCCATCAGCTTTTCGTGAAATGCTCTCTCTTAGAGCACTGAAGAGTAGACGACGAAGCTTGTGGAAGCACTTCTTTATCCAGCAGTGTTGCAATCAGACATGCTAGGCTGACGTGGCTGTACGTTTCCGTGGACTGTGACTGTTACAGGCTATGGAGGATGCTGAATTTCAAAACGTGTTCTCAAACCTCAACACAAACATTCAAGACAAGCATCCATTACATTCTTCAAAATAGCAATGCCTGGGATACGTCTGACAGGAGATCACATTTCATGGTGAAATATTTTTGCCACTAAAGTTCAAAAAGTCCAAATTTTCAAACTCATACAGATTATATCAGAACAACTCGCATTCCTTTCAAATAGGATGAAGATCTCAGAACACTTCAGAGACAGCACTGAGCAATGAGCAGTGAGAAGACGAAGGAGCTCACTTCCCTCTCCCAATGCACACTGATTGATCTCGCTCAGTCTCTGTAAAGCACGTTGAGATGTGAAAGATGCTGTATAAGTGACACCTGATAATAATCCCTCAAGAAAAAGAACAATAATAAATTGGTCACTTCAATCCACAAGTATTTGTGGGATGCTGCTGTGCACAAAACCAATTGGTTTTCACACAGCGAAACCAATTGGCTGCTGCGTTTCGCCCACAAAACATAGTCACTGGTTTGCACAAGTGGCTCCAGCATTTTGCTCACAAACTACACAGTCACTCCATTTTACAATATATGCTTTGAGACATCTCAACGATGTGATAAGACGCTATCAACGCAAGTTATTATTGTTATTATAAATGATTGTTGATCATTTTCTCCCCAGTCAGTCTGAATGCTGCAAATCAACCTCTAAAGCAGAGGAAGTGGTGGAATGCTCAGACTATAGTGCAAATTAGCAAACCTTATTATAGTATTTATTATTTGGGGGGAAAACATGACTGTGTAGATTACATACCAGTCACCTCAGATAACAAAACCTTTCCTGCCTCATACCCAGTGAAATATCTCATACCCAGTAGTCAGAACCAGCCTCAATTTAGAAGCAATTTAGCTTCATATAGAAAGTACAGCCCAGCATTGTAAGTGCAACACAACAGCTCACAGCTCAGTGGGATTGATGTGTCAGCTCAGTTGGAGGCCCTCTTGTCTCTGAGTCACAAGGTTGTGGATTCAAGCCCTCATGACGGGAATTTGAACTCACAGTCTAAGCTGACACTCCAATGCAGTGCTGGGGGAAAGCGCTGTATTGTTGGAGTGCTGTCCTTCAAATAAGACGAGACCCAGTCTGCCTGTTTACTGGTACTAGCAAGAGAGTTTCTCTCTCCCACTGTCTTGGCCGACAATCCCCCAGATAATAATATAATAATAATCCTTGCATTTGATACTTTGAGACTTTTCAACGACATGATAAGTGTTTCACAGAATATATTATCAAGTGAATCGACTTTATTGCCTACTACAATACCAGCAAACCCACTGGAAGTGTTTTTTTTAAACATTTCTGTGATTCCTGTTTGTGTTTGTACTCCTGATGATAAGGGAAAAGAAACACTTTCAGGCTCCCCGCGGCAGAACCACAGATCAGCTACAGATACGGGTTAGATACAGAGTAAAGCTCCCTCTACACTGTCCGTCCACATTCCCTGGTCAGGACACCACAGGCTAGAGTTATATATAATAAATAACAATAATAATAACCCTTGCATTTGATACAGCGCCTTATCACTTCTTCGAGACGTCTCAAAGCGTTCACAGAATATACTGTAAAGTGAATTGACTGTATATTTGTGGGAGAAAAGCGGCAGCTAATTACGCACAGCAGCGTCCCCACAAACAGTCGTGGATTGAAGGGACCAATTTTTTTTAAGGTATTATTAAGCCTGGAAAAGCGATCTGTCAATCGACTAACAACAACAAAAAATTACATTTCTATAGCACCTTTCAAGTCGGGAGGGATATCCCAAGGCGCTGGACAGACAGTTACGGACCCAAGCTGAGGGGGATGGTGGAGGGCAGGGGGTGGAGGCAGGTCAGGGAGATCGAAAGCAGGGTCGAAGAGGAGGGTCTTGAGGTAGGTCTTGAAGGTGGCGAGGGAGGGGGCGAGAAGGAGGAACTGCAGGATGGAGTTCCAGAGCGTGAGTGCAGAGTGCCTGCCGATAGAGCGAGGCGGGGGACGTGAAGCAGGCCAGAGCCCGCTGAGCGGAGAGCAAATAGGGTGGTAGGGGGTTAGGAGGTCGGAGAGGTGGGGGTGGTTCTGACTTACTGCGTAAACAGAGGCGTGTAGAGTGAGGAAACTTGTCCAACGTTTCGCCCTGACAGGAATCGAACCCACATCTCTCACTTGCGAGGTGTGTGCTCTAATTACTGAACAACCAAGAGTTAGAGTAAAGTTCCCTCCACACTGTCCGTCCACACTCCCACGTCAGCTACAGCATGGATTAGAAACAAAATAAATCTTCCTTCAGATTGTCCGTCCATTGCTCCAGGTGAAATTCAGAACAGACTCAGAATGTGCAACGTTCTGGTTTGTATAGCCTAATACTCCTCTATCCACGAGACATTCTTTGCTGTATCCAGCATGTTTTGAACGACAATTGAGAATAGTCTTGCCAAAATATTTCACTTTTAATTACGAAATATAAGGCCAACAGCCCTTAGATTTCATTACCTCTGCTCTAAGCTGGGCTCCGAGTTAATTCTTTGTGTTAACCTCAATTCTTTGAGATAGAAGAAATATTTAGAAGTTCCTTTCACAGCCACACACAGCTCTAGTAAATTTAACCAGCCAACTTGTGATTTAGCTTTCTTCTGCTGTTGCTTAACGTGCACCGAGTTCTGCTCAGCTCTGAATCTCTTTCGCTCGTCTTTTTAGAAGTTAACAAAATAAGCACATGGCACTTACACTATCCAAGGAGGACTTTGCCTTGTCGTCAGCGTCCTCACATGATAGTCAGTGCTCAACCTTGCACTCATCACTGCAACAGGAAGTACAGCACTGACTGTATACGCACATACACAAACCAATCCCCTCTCTAGCCACGAGTCTCTGTATGAGATAGTTTAAGCCACTCGACTGTAAACGCTACAAATGTTTTTCAGTTGATATTCCGGATCTCTCACAGCAGGAGTTTCCCACGTTGAATCTTTATAATATGATAGTAGGGCTGGTGGAGTCCTGTAGCTCAGTGGTTAGAGCACTCACCTCACGAGAGACCTGGGTTCGATTCCCGGGCAGAGCGAAATGTTGGGCAAGTTTCCTTACTCCACTTAGTTAGTGTTTACTGAGCAGTAAGTAAGAACCCAGTTATTAGTTGATTGTCAAGATCGCTTTTCTGGGGGCAATAATTCCTTCCAAAAAAAAGTAATAAATTGGTCGCTCAATCCACGACTGTTTGTGGGACGCTGCTGTGCGCAATTGGCTGCCGCGTTTCGCCCACAAAATATAGTCAATTCACTAGATAGTATATTCTGTGAAGCGCTTTGATGTCTCGAAGATGTGATAAGGCGCCATATCAAATGCAAGGATTATTATTATATTATTATTGTATATTATTATTGCGTTGTAATGATCTCAAAGCACGTCCCAGGGTTTTACTGTGAAATGTTGTGACTGTAGGAGAATGTGGCAGCCAGTTTGCATGCAGCAGTGCACCACAAACAGTTCCTTCCCATTGAACGTTTGTTTCCACCAGTTGGAGGTGCAGAGTTTAAGCAGCAGTCACTTGCCTGTCTGTAAGCCAATCAAGGTGGATGTACGTATGTATTTTTACTAACTTGGACTCACACAACAGCTTCCCCGAGCCTCACTTGCTCAGCTTTACTTTATCTCTGCCACATCGCTTGGCTACGTCACTTTCTCTCCCGGCTGCCGAGACCCTTGTCCACACCTTCATCACAAGCCACCTTCAATTATTCCAGCCCCTCTGCTCACCGGACCTCCCAGCTCCTCTGTACACTCTGCAGCTCATGTTCCAGGCTCCATATTTTTGGTCAGCTCTACTGACTCCCTATCCCCCAGTGGATCGAATTCAAGATCTTCTTCCTCATGTTCAAATCCCTCCATAACCTTACCTCTGGAACCTCCTGCCACCTTACCACCCCAGCCACTGCCTCCGCTCAGCTAACAGCCTTCTTCTTGACCCCGCCTGACCCGTCCTACCAACAGCTGCCCCCACTCTCTGGAACTCGATCACAGAGTCTTCCCTCCTCCTCTCTCACTTCCATCTTTAAAGCCCACCTTAAGAGCTATCTTTTCGACTGTGCTGTTGGCCACTTGCCTCCCCCCCACCAAGCTCAGGTGTCCAGTCAGCTGTGTGAAGCGCTTTGAGACATCCTCCCGAGGTGAAAGGTGCTCTATAAATGTAAACTGTTGTTGTTGTTCCTTTGATCCCACTTGTTTGACCACAGGAATCTTCCAGACCCAGGCACAAGTGTATTTCAGTCACCTCTCCTCCACTATTCTCCTCTCCTGGAGGTACTGACTTGTGCTGGAAACTGTTCCACAGGCCCCTGCAGTACCTCGCCTGCGTCTCCCCCTCCTCTTCCCCCTCCTCGCTCCCTCCCTTCCCTCCCCTTACCCTGACCATTTCCCCCCTCCCCCCACCCTGACCATTTCCCCCCTGCTCGGGTCATGACCCAACTGTGCAGCGCCTTGGGACTTCCTCCTGACGTGAAAGGCGCTTTATAAATGGAATCTTGTTGTTGTTGTTGTTGTTGTTGCGTCACTGTTCTTTATACGGGACAGTGAGTGTTGGCAGGGTAAGCCAGCAAGGGAGATCAACTGACCCCAATCTCACACTTGCAATTGGGTGGGTGGGTGGTGGGGGGGGCGTTGGACAGTGATGGGGCCATCCTCCCCAAACTCCTGGTCCAGGAATGCTTAGATTAATCAAAGCTCCCTCAGCACCAAGCTGGCTGCCACTGGCCAGAGAACGGACAAACCTGGGACCTCTCAGTATTACTGTGTGGCTAAATACTACACACTGCTTTCACCAACAGAGACAGTAAAGGAGCAATGAGATTTCTAATGCAATTTATGGTCAGTACTGCTTGGCTGGCACTATCTTTTTAACCATATTGCCTCAAGCAGCAAGATTTGCTTGTGGCAACATCGGATCACCGATGAAGCATCACATCACCAGGTCTGGGCTG